GAAAAGTGGGAGGAGAATCGAGAGAAAGTGCAGTCCCAAAAACCTAGAGAGAAGAGTTATCCAGGAGAAGAGGGTGGTCAACAGTGTTAAAGGCTGTAGAGAGGTCAAGGAGAATGAGGACTAGGAAAACTGGATTTCACAACTAAGAGATCATCGGTAACTCTGGAGAGAGCAGTTTCAGCAGAATGATGAGGTCAGAAGCTGAACTGTTAAGAGTTAAGAAGACAGTGAGAGAAGAGAGGGTGGAGGACTACTGTCGATGGTCTTTTCTAAGAGTTTAGCTACAAAGAGAAGAGATAAGGAACCATAATTATCTGGGATGGAAGGATCAAGTGAGAGTTTTTTCAAGATGGGGGAGACATGGGCATATTTGTAGGCAGTAGGGAAGGGGCCAGTAGACAGGGAGAGGTTGAAAGTAATTGAAAGAGCTGAGGTGACAGGGCAGGGGCAATCTGTTGGAGAAGGCATGGAATGTGATCGGTTGAATAAACAGAGGAGGTCAGCCTTGCTCAGAAACAAGACTGCCTGACCATGAGACACAGGGGTGAAGGGAGAGAGGAGCAGAAGGCACCTGAGAGTCAGGAGATGAGAAAGAGGGGAGAAGAGGGAGACCATAGTGAATGGTTTCAATTTTTCCAGTAAAATATGAGGCAAAGTTCTCAGCCGGGAGGCTTAAGGAGGGATGAGGTTTGGAAGAGCAAAAGAGGAGAGTGGGAGAGTGAAATGCCACCATCTTTCTCTAGTATTTTACAAAAATGCACACTCTAAACCAGTGCGGCAGGTAACGGCAGTGGACCTGGGATCAGGAAAACCTGGGTTCCACTCCTGCTTCTGATACTGCTGAGCTTTGTGCTCACCAGACCTTTCCAAGGCTGTTTCCTTACCTATAAGATGGGGATAAGTAATAATCGTATTGCCTTCTTTCTCCACACGGTTACTCACAGGCTCAAATCAGATAAGGTATAGAAAAATTTAAATTTAAAATGCCACATAAATGTCAGATACTGTATTTTTAAGGACACCAAATGTCTGTTGGCTGATGCAGTTTCTAAAGTCATTTGATCTTGCCATGACTGATTTACATTCACTAAACTTCCTTAGAGAGCCTAATAATGTTGCTATCTATTCTTTTATTCATTTCCTATTTTTCTGGAACAACAGGTCATCTGAAAAGATTAGGTTGGGGTCACATCGCTTCTATGGCATTCTCATTTTCAGTTTTTATTGTAGCTTAATGCTGATTTTAATCTTTCTTTTTAACAAGATGGTAGCCTGACTGTATAGACACAAATGATGTCCACACTGGTGGACTCACCGTTTTTTGTTCTTAAATGTAACCAATTTCATATTTTATGATGTTATTCTTCGTGTCCAGCATCTTCTAACCCTCTTCTAGAAGAAAGTATTCACTACGAGTACATACAATGTACATATAGATACATACATATACAGACATATAGGCCTGAAGCTTCTGCACAATCTGCAAACCCTTCATCTCTTGCTTCTTAAGTAGAATCACATTTTCCAACATATTTTTCTTTCCTCCCCACGTCCACCTCTGCATAGAAGTTACTGAGCAGCTGGTTACTCTACTTTATTTGGCAAGACGTATCAAATAACTTATAGAACATCTCTAAAATAAATCCTGATGTATGAACACCAATCTTTTCATGATCATCTTCTCATAAATACTTATCAAGAGGAAATCAAGAGCAGCAGAGGGCAAAGGGTCCCATGCAATGACGCTCCTGTTGCCTTGGACACATGGTAAACTCAATCAACTGCCAACATCCTTGTTTTCCTCTCCAAGGAGATCAGAAGCCACAATTCCATTCAGCTTCAGTCTCCTGGTTTTCTTTATATTATTTATTATGGCTATGAATTAAGGGTAGGGAAGGAGAAAGCCTGAGAGGGGGGATTCTATGGCTTCCTGCCATCACAATGCTAACCCTACCATCACCAATAAAAACGACTAACAGCGACAGCACTAAGAGCCCTATAATAATAAGAATCCCACCCTCCTCACTTTCTGAACTGCTGTTTCTCCACTGCCCCCCCCCCCAACTCCCCTGGAATAATATCTTCAGTAATGAAGAATACTTGCGAGGTCAGGACAGACTTCCTTGTCCCCCTTCCACCCGTGATCTGCACAGTTTAGCAGGCACGCTTCTTCCAATTCTGAAGGGCAGGGCAGGGAGAACCCTGGATTGGAAGACCTAGAGCAATATTCCTGTTACACCTGGGTCTGCCTTCACTGGGCAAAATAACCAATTAACAGGTACTTATCAAGGTCAGGCACTGGCTAGTAACAGAAATATAAAAGCAAATCAATCTTTGCCCTCAAGTTACTTATATTCTACTGAGGGGGAACATTTACAGAATGTAAATGTAAATAGTACTTTGGTGGTGGTAGTGGCCATTAACAATTGGGGGAAGCAGGAAAGGCCTCTTAAAAAGGAGGGGGCCTTGAAGGGGCTGGGAAAGGCAAGCATATTCTAGGCACTGGGGGCAGCCTACGCCACGCCAGGAGGCCCTGGGAAACCACCCAGCAGGTTAGTGTGGCTGGAACACTCAAGAGTGTGAGGGGGAGCTGTGTGTGATCAGTTCGGAAAGTGTGGTCACAGCTAGACTGGGAAAAGCTGAAAATGCCTTCAGAGCAGCCCGTGCTTTAGCTGCAAGGATGGAGTGGCCTCACGAGCAGAGGAGGGACATTGTGGGACCCAAGGGCTTTGGGCAGAGGGGGAAGAGACCAGCAAAGGGGTCACTGAGATAGTTCAGGAGAGATGGAGAGGATCTAGACTAGAGCAGAGAGGACAGGAGGAGAGAGAAGGGGAGAGCCACAAGAGAGAACACAGAGTGGAGAAGAGGGCACAGGAAGGTGGCTGCGCAAATGTGACCGGTGGTTCGTGAGCCTCAGTGAGCAGAAGAAGGCCAGCGCCCTGAAGAGAAATGAGGGCATCAGGAAGAAGGGCGAGTGGAGAGGATGGCACTGGGCCTTCAAAGAGATATGAGGGCAGAGCCACTCTAAGTCCATGAGAACTGATGAAATACTGGAAGTGCATGCGGTGAGAGAAGAGGGAGGGTCAAGTACAGAGCACTGGGGATACCCGTGCATCAAGGGCAGGACAAACAAGACTGTGGAGGAGGTCTGCCTGGTGGACAGGAAGAGAGCCCTAACAGAAGTAGGTGGAGAGAGCATCTACAAAGAGGGCATGGTCAACAGGGGTGTTGCAGAAAGGGTAAGGGTGGGACCTAAGCCAGGTCAGATCTAGCAGATTTAGCAGGAAAGCGTTTCAGGTGACTGGAGGGGACAAAAAGCCAGATGGCAGAGGCTAATCACGTGAGGACAGTGGGGACAAGCAACTTTCTCTAGGAGTATGGCTGCAAAAGGGAACAACAGGATGACAGCTAAAGGGAAGGCCTGCAGAGATCTGAACACACTGGCATAGAGCAGGAAAAACGCCAGGGGATAAGGAGAGGCAAAGGTGAAGGCCCCAAGTGCACTTGGCCACACAGAAACAGGTTTTGCGTGACCACACAGATTTGTAGCCAGGGAGTTCTTTTTCTTCAGTGCTCAGTGGGGGAAGGGGAGAGAAGGCAGATTTGTGTAGGTTAAAAGCAAAGACAATTAAGGAGAGGGAATGTCTGAACGGGCAGGAGGGCTTGGGACCAAGCGAACTTGCAGAAGGGTTGTCAGTGGCAAGGATAAGAGTCATTTCTTCCTCTTCGGATGAAAGAAACGAAGAGAAGGCCCTCATGCTGGACGGTCTCATTTTTTTTTTGCAGTGAAACAGGAGGCTAGGGTTTCTGCTGAGAGAAAAGGGAGGAGACAGTAACATCGGTGGTCTGAGAAGGGGAGAGAGGGTTGGGGCAGCTGCTGTGGAGAATGAGGCGGTTGACCAGGAAAGAGGAGAAGGATCCCCACACAGCGCAGGGTGGTTGACACAGTGGTGGCAGACTTCAGCCAGCACGCATGTCTCACTTCCTCTGTCACGTGTGTGCTGAGAGGCACAAGGGCTGGAGGAGAAAAGCTGACCAACACCATGTACCAGCCTCGTACGAAGCCTTGGGCCTCCTCTCACCCGGGCCCAGTGAGGAGCGCTAGCTGGCAGGGTGGCCAAGGAGCCAGGGCATCACGTTCCTGTGAATGGAAGGAGATGGAAGGGTCCTGCCAAGAATGTGCCTGCTGTCCAACGTGAGTCACCACCACCTGGACAAGGAGGCCAGTGCCGGGTGGGTGACAGGGCAGCTGCTGTCCCAGCCGTGCGGTGAAGCTCATGGCCCCTTTCCTTCTGAGAGAACCCTAGCCAGTGAGAAGCTGGAGAAGCCAAGCCTCCCCACTGCAAAGCCTGCAGAAGCCTGGGGACTACTTCTTCCCTAGGGTCTGCATGAGCCACTGGCCCAAGAGGTTCACAAATCCAATCTTCCTTTCCTCGAGACCTTCAGAAACCAGAGTGGGCACTGACTAAGGGCGGCCGATGGACAGAATCACTCCCTCACTGCCCCTCCGACAGCTACGTGGCCGACAGGAAAAGCTGATGTTCTTCCAACAAAGGAATGTAAACACCAACCGGCTGGCACACGAATGAGAAGCCTGGACTCCTGATCACCTTCTGATATTCTGTCCCAGTTTCTAGTTAAAAATCCCATTTGTTCCTTTCCTTGCTTTCAGTTAGGGGCCTGAGAGGCAGAAGGCTGGGAAGAATGATGAACACAGCCTGGGCAGCCTGAGAGGAGGTCATGGTAAGCATCATGGAAGCCTTCTCCCCGGCCTGGACTCCACGGCCCCCCTGCTCCCTACACATAGACCTCATTCTGTCTGACTCAAAACCGTTCTTGCCCACAGCATGGTTCCTGAGCAGATCTGCCTGTGCGTGCCTGTGGGTGTGTGTGTAGTTCAAAACAAGCAGGTAAAGTTGGGCCGAGATGGTGCAAACCAGAAAAGAAAAGAAGCCGCGCTGCTGCTCACCCCCCCGCTCCCCGTTGCCGCCGAGTCTTACCTGAAGTGCTATGAACGTTGGTAAAGGAGTTGTCAGAGGCACTGTAGGGCCAGGCACCAGGTGAAGGCAGCGAGGTGTTGAGGGAAGAATTAGACCCTTTGGCCACACACGGGATAGAAGAGAAGAACATGAGAAACCAAGTTAGGTCAGGAGTGAACAATCAGAAGCCACAGCCGCTCGGCAGAAGGAAGCAGACAGTTCACACGAGCAGTGTGCAAACGTCACATGTCCTGGCCTTCTGGAAGCCAGAGAGCAGCCACACCCAGCCCGGCCCCCCAGTCACCTGTGGCGGTGTCCCGTAGAAGTTGGTGGTCAGTATCTACAATGGGAGATGTGGCTGGACCCCCGAGCACACTTCCTGGGGTCACGTAGGGGTCAGACTCAGGGTCGATGTTTTGTATACCTTTCCATGGCACTCCCGGTTGGAATTCTAGGACAAGAAGGGTAAACACAACACCATCGGGTGGTCACGAGAAACTGACAAATGAATTTCCAGAAGGATTCCCCAGAAGCCTGTTGTAAATTAGCAAGTTCCTAGAGTCTGAACCAACTTCCTCATGGATTTCCGTGATCCAAGTCTGCAGTGTTTTTTATCTTCATGTCCTGGCTTCTCTCTAGGAGCTAGAGTCAGGGTTAGAGGCTCCTTCTGGGGATGGGCTGTGGCCCGAGTGTCAGGCAGTGACAGGAGAAGTCACTTAAGAGCCCCCAGATCTAGGGAGAGAACAGGCAGCAGAAAGGCAGAGGGCGAGTGGTGGGTCCAGAAACAGGACAGAGGAGGAGGCCACAGTAACCTCAGGCTGTCTGCTAACAAGACCCTTCTGTGGGGTGGACGGATGTGCGGGTAGTGATTTTAGCTAGTCTCTGTATTAGGTCAGAGTGGGGAGTGGTAAATTTTTAATGCCCATGTGTTTAGATAACACAGATTGAATCAATGACGTCCTGGGACCTGATGACCTGGTACCATAGGGTGGAATGGTGGAGGGACTTGGGGTGAGACATACAAGTCCTGGCTGGGCCCTCTCCTGGGAGGGACTCGCCTACGCCTTACTTTTACCACCAGTACAACGGAGGCAATCCTCACATGACCCGCCTCCAGCTCTCCTAAGGAAAGGAGGGTGCACGTGCTCAATCCAGCCCACGTTGCTGAGAGCCTCAATGAAATCAGGTAAGGAGGATGCAAAGATAAGAAAGTACGGAGCCTCCAGAAGGAGCAGGCGGGCAGACCTCAAGACTCTCTCTTTTAGCTTACTCTACCTTCAGGTCAGATCTCCTCCAAGCCTGGGGTTGTGGAGCCCATGGTCCCCAAATGGTTCATCTAAGGTGGTGGCCCTGTCAGGCTGAAAAGGCTTATGATCCTTCACCTTTACCATTAAGGCCCACGGGCATGGAGTCTGGGTCACACTGACCTTTCCACAGAAACACCAAGCAGCCTGATTTTCTTTGCAAGGACAGCCAACGGCATGGGCATCAGGGCACCCTGAGATCGAGCCAGGTGTCAAACTCAGACAGAAAGGGAAAAGTCCTAACTTTTCACTCCCACCGTGCAAGCTGGCCACCTCAGGTCTCAGCTGTGGACACAAAGTTCACAGGGGGACCAAAGCTATGGACTAAACTCAACTTCCCTGACCGCCACCTACAAGGGGATGTCGCACCTGACGCTCACTCCTCTAGACGCATGCTGGAGCCATGGCTGGCTGCTGAAGGCCCCACAAGCAAGTCCACCCGGTGCCCAAGTCAGCCGGTGCTGCACGGGGTTCATGCATGCCACGGTGGAGAGGCAGGTGCAGGCCCTTCGACCCACCCTGACCCCAGCTCCTCCAGGGCCTTCCCTCATGCCTGGAGAGGCAAGAGGCTGCTCGTGGAGTCAGGAAGACCTGGGTGGGAATCCTGCCGCAGACAGTCTTCAGCCATGTGACGACTCTGGGCCTCAGTTTCCCCACTGATGGTCTCCAAGGTTCCTTCCAGCCTTACACTATGATCCTGGAGCCCATAACCGCATATGGCCACGCTGCCTCTGGACTTCCTAGCTGCGATGAGACGGATGCCTGGGCCTTAAAATCAGCGACTAGTGACTTTGGAACAGACCTTACAAATTATCTGCCCCGACTTCTGATCTACAACTCCTGTCCATCACCCTTGAGGAGAGGCATCTCCTGGCTGTCCCCTCCCTAGGCCCAGGGGTCTCATCACCAATGTGCCAGACTCATCTTCCTCATGCACTGTTCTTTTGCTCAAAACTCTTTATATCCAGGGTGGCTAAGTGATGCAGTAGATAAGAGCACTGGCCCTGGAGGCAGGAGGACCCGAGTTCAAATGTGACCTCAGATTCTTACTAGCTGTGTGACCCTAGGCAAGTTACTCAATCCCAACTGCCCACCTCCCCCAAAACCCTCTTTAGACCCAAGTTTAAAATTGTTGGCCCGTTATTTTAGGCCCTCTACAATCTACTCCATCCTTTTTGCCTTATTTCATACTAGCCCCTTCCACATTCTCTACACTCTGGTCAAATCCAACCAAACCTGTTGACACTTGGAGCTTGTCTACCTCTCTTTGTTCTCACTGCACCCCAATTCCCAGACCACCCTCACCCCACAAAAAACTCAGAGTTGCCCTCTAGTGTCCAGCCCCCAAACAGCCTCCAGGCTGCATCAAAGGACTCCCTCCAGATTAAGGTTATCTCTCTCGGAAGGCCAGAGGGAAACCTAGGCCATCTAATTCTAGGCCTCCAAGCGCACGTAGCACTTCGGACTGCCTGGGTACCTGCTGAATTAACAAATTAACCCGAGGTGACCTCATTCCGCAGTGGAGGAGCTCAGACTTTCTCCCAAAGGGCCTAAACCAGTTTAGAAGCAAACGCTGCTTTGTCCAGGGTGCATCCTGGGGCATACCTGGAGGCCAACTGGCATGGCTGGATTTACTTCCAATTTTATTTGTCGGTGGCGATTTGGCGGGTAACCAACTATCGCCAGCAGGCCCCGTATGGCCCCCCAACGTGTCGCCCGGGAGGATGTCAAACTGGTTGTATGGCGATCCTCCTCGAGTTTTTCCGGGGGGTACTATGGCGCCTGGGAACAGAAGGAGACAGAGAATTCACACCCAGAAAAGGCTAGAGGCAAAAACGACATCAACAAACATTTTCTAAATTACGCACGCTCTTTGAGAGAAAGTTAAAGGAGACGTTACCAGCCTCACCTCCCTCTCTGACAACTGGTTCTGAACCATCGATCCAAGAGACAAAGCCAGTCAAACTTCACATGCCTGGTTGTCTTTAAGGGTGGACTCTACAGCCCTGTCCTCCCTCCCTACAGCCTGGAAGTGACCCTTCCCCGAGCACTCTGTGACCATCTCTCGTTGGAGGCGCATGGCTAGGTCGGCTGTAACACATGGCTTAAGGGGGGAGACGGGCTGCAATCTGTACGGTTCATGCAATGAAATTAAGGGGGAGCTGCCTGAGCTCCACCAAAGTTATCTGTTCACCGACCAGTGTCTGATTAGGCAACCTCGACTTGAAAGGGTGAGCGGTGCAATGGAAGCTCTATAGAGGCAGTTACTGGGAGAACCAGACACGGTGCCTTTCCATGCAAAAGCAGTGAGACAGAATTCTTGTGTCTGCTTGACCCCTCCATGAGACTATGTGAAACCAGGAGCCTGGGACAGGAGGGACCAACTGATCCTAAGTGCTCCAATGTGAATATCCCATGCCAATGTGCCCACCTAACGTGGCAGTCTCAACGTGCCACATGAGGAAGCAGAAACAGCATTAAGAAAAGAGATGGGAAAAGGGCCTGGGTCTCCAGAGGAGGCCCCTCCAGAGGTAAGGCACGACAGGGCAGCATCTCAAGGCAGCTGAAAGATGCGAGCCTGTCCAAAGTTTAGAAAAGATCCTGGCGACCACGAGAACATAAAGCATGAGTCCTTTCTCTTTTCTACCACATTTTCAAGCAAATCTCCTTCACACCCTGCAGGCTCCCAATGGTGGGAGAAGTGAATGGGCTCCCCGAGATGGTGCCCACACAAGGGGGACTCACAGGGGACTGAAGACACGGACGATTCAGCATCGACCGCTCTTTGGCGGTCGTGGACAATAAAAGTGCCTGGCTTGCTTGGCCTAGCAGAGCACTGGCTTCAAGGGCCCCCCAACCAAGAGTCTCCCATGCATGTGTCAGTAAAAGAAGGTTTCTGTCAAAAACAGGCCCTCCTGTTAGGAAGGGAGGATGCTGCTTGGCTGCCAAGTCCCAGGCAGAGGGGATCTCACCAAACCAGCTCTCTTAACTCTGTTCCACACACAGGACACTCCACTTTCCACCTCCACCCCTCCACCCACCTGTGAAGCTTAGCTCTCCAGGAGGCCTTTCCTGGCCTCTTTACTTGCCAGAGCCTCCTGTCCCGCCCCCAGACTCCAAAACCGCAGTGTAACAATTTTCGTGTTCCCATATCGGCGTGTAGTCTCCTCAGGCTGGCCTGTAAGCGCCTTGAAGGCAGGGACGACTTTGTTTTCACTGTATCCCCCTCCCCCTGTTGGGGTGCTTGGGTGCTTGTACTTGGGCCGCCATTTCTCCCTAGCCTCAGGAAACACCGTCCCTTGATAATCATTTAAGATCAATTGAGCCCCAAGAAGGCCCAAAAACCTAAATTCATCTTTTTCTCTCTGAGTGAACTAAAAACACCCCTTCCTGTGTCAGCAAATTCCAGGACCAGACAGAGCTGATCAGTATTCTTCCTGTTTGTTATCACGGGGCCCAGGATGTCCAGGACCAGATACTCTCTTGAATAATGGGACTTTTCTTATCTTGAGTTTCAATTGAGAGCTGACCACTCCCTAACCATTCCCTAATCCCACCCTGAATCCTAGTTAGCATATTTGGCATATATTATGTTTTATTGCATTTTATCCTATATAAACTTTAACTGTACCTCTCTAAGGTTGCAGGATCCTTTAAGAATCCTTGCCCGCTGAAAAGCGTAACCATAAATCTTTGACACCTTGAATTAAAGAATGCTTGAGTCTGTGAATTCATTCCAGACGACCCGTCCTGTACTCCGGTCTTTGAGGGGTCACAACCTCTCAGCCTCTCAGCCTGCAACACACCCATCAGAACGCCTGGCACACTGAAGGCGCCAAACACACGCTTGCTAACTGGCAGAATGATAGCAAAGTCCTCCAGACGCCCATTTGTGGAGGGCACTATGCCCTGGAACACCGCAGAGCCTCCCGAAAGAGATCCACCATCACCCAAAAGGCTCAGGCCCATGTCACCACATGAGAAAAACAAGCCAGATGAAGAACGGCCCTGCTCCATGCCTGGACATCCAGCTGGGCAGCCAGAACCCACAGAGGCAGTCCACTCGTGCTCACCCGGGCCTGGGCAAGGTGCAGACTGCAGCAGGAGCGGAATGGGAGCTGCCTGGGAGAGCTGGTGGGGAGCCTGGTTGTGACGCCCAGGCTTCTCCGGGAGACAAAAGTTCATGTCTTATTTTTCAATTTTGGAAATCTGTTTTCCAGAAGTTGTCTTTATGTTTGATTTTCTTTTTTTTTTAAATGTTGCTTTTCTATTTTTTTTTAAAGTTACAGTCCCAATTCACTAACTTTTTTTGTCTCTTTTGTTAATGAAAAATATTTAAGAGGGGAAACTCCCCCTAGGGCTTGCCTTGGCTATGGGTGGGTGGAGTGGCCAGTTGGAGGTGGAGTGTCTTGGTCAAGGATCAGCACAGATGCCAGTGCCACTGGACTGTGGAAGGCGATGAGCTTAAGAAGACCGGAAAGGTAGGAAGGAGCCTGATCCGGAAAGGCTTTACACATCAAAATCACCATTTTATACTGGCTCCTGGATGTAGCAGAGAACCACGGAATTTAGTGGCTGATGCGGTCAGACAGCTGGAAGAAGGACGGCCTAGAGTAGGAAGAGACTAGAGGCACAGAGGCCGATCAGAAGGCTGTTACAATCATCAAGGTTCAAGAAGACAAGGACCTGCATGGGGGCTTGAGGTCTGGTAAGCCGTCTCACTGCTTTTAATGGAACTGTCTGTCTCTCATTTCTGTGCTTTCTTCTTTAGGAACACATTTGTCTCCATTTAAATTGGGATCCTTTCTTCAAATTCTCTTTCGGTGATAATACTTTTTCATGACACTGTGGTCAGGAAAGGACACGTGTGCTACGTTTTCATGCGTTTGTTCAGGGTGGATCTGAGCACTGTGTGTGTCTTCTGACTTTCACTCAGTAACCGCCAGAGCGCTCTCTTCATCAGTTGTTCTACAGTGCTATTCGAAGCCCTTCCCTTCTTTCCTGTTTATCTCTCTGTTAGATTTGGTCAGGTCTGAGAGGGAACATTGAGGGTCCCAAGTATCACAGGGCTCCTTCTGATTTCTCCCTGTAACTGATGTACTCAGGTGCCATGCCATTTGGCGCACACGTATCCAATACGAATGTTACTTCACTACCGATGGCGCTTCTCAACAGGACTTATGTTCTCGGCTTATCTCCTTTAACTATGTTTATTTTTACTCCTAACTTGCTGATAGCCACTCCTGCCTTTCTGAAGTTGCTTGAGGTAGAATGAATTCTCCAGTGTGGCCTCATGTTCACTCTGTGAATTCTAATTTTTCAAGTGTATGGAGACTTTTTTGGACTCTGCTTTCTAATTCATTCCTCCATTTTATGGGCAAGCTCATCCTGTTTATATGCAGAGTTATTGTTCATTGTGTTTTCCTCTCTACCATAAACTCTTACCCTTTCCCCTCTTTTTGCCACTTATATCACTGACTTTTTTCTAAAGAAGGCACTTTTCCTGGTCAGTTGTTTTTGATATTAGATACCTTATACATTTTTCTAATTTCTTCAGTCTTCTGACTCTGTTCTAGTATTTCTTTTTGCTTCATACAATCATTGGGTTTTATTTGTCCTGTTCTGTTTATTCAGGGAGTCCACTTCTGGGGTGTGGATTTCCACTTTTTTTTCTAAGTGATTTATTCTCCTCTTGAATTTTTTCCTTAAGAGCTATTGCTTTATTTCTTCCTAGTTACTCTTGGAGTCCTTGGGGCTAAGTCATTCTTTTCTCTGAGGCTCTACTGTGGCGCTATTCTCTGTTTACAAGTTGGGCTTCTCTTGATCCATAATATTTCTTCCCTGTGGCTCAGAGTTTTCTTCCATTTCTTCCTATCTCCATCTTCAGTTTCTGGATGGGACTATGTACCAGAGTCCCACTGTCCTGAACTTTTGGATGGAATGGGTTGGCCCTATTTGGTCCTTTCTCCTCCGCAGTCTAGATGTTATTGCCGCTGTGGTTCTGGGTTGGGTGGCAGGAACTAGGTACTGCCCTCTGCCTCAACACCTGGCTCCTGCCTCCTTCTCTGCGTGAGTTTTAGCCTCGGCTCAGAAAGGGCTCTGGTCTCTCCTGACGCTTGTATAATCTCGAGCTGGGAGCTGTCTCTTGTCTCTTTTGTGACCTCCTGCATTGTCTCCTCCCTGGTTCATCCCACTGAGGGCTCCCACTGGCTTGAGACCCTCCTGCGTGGCTCCCTCATCTGCTGTGACCCTCCTGAATGCCCAGAGGCTTCTGGCCATCCTCCTGCAGCCTTGGACTGCGGTTTCTCTTTCATCTTCTTGAGCACTTGACCTGGGTATTTGCTGTGCTGCTCACTCCCCTTCTAAACCCAGGCCTAAGGTTCTCACAGTGGAATGCTTCAGGTGGTACTCTATGGTTCTCATAAGAGCACATCTCAATATCTAACAAGTAAATATTAGGGACCGCTCAAATGGCAATGAATGGGGTACACGGTGGTTACGTCTAGGCTCCACCCAACCTTTCGCCAACAGAGAATCAAGGCAAGAGAATTAGTGTTAAAAGATGTCAACAGAGAGATAAATGACTAGAAAGGAGTGGTGGCTGGTCATATGGCCAGAACAAAGGATAACTAATGGAAAGCCCAGTTAAGACAACCACACAAAAGGTCCCTCCCATGCTAAGCGGATCACCTATGAAAAATTCAAGGGAGGACATGGCCAAGAGTCGCATACAATGAGAAGACATGGATGGGTCACAATCTATAGGGCTGGAAGGATCACAGATTGATGAAATGACAGCTCCTTTTAAGTAAAGAGAATGGTATAGTCTCGTAAGGCATTTCATTCAAATCTTTGACAGATCTCTAGAGAGGAAAACACTAAAAAAACCCCACACAACCCCCCCCTCCAAATCCCAATTCCTCTTTATTCCCTGTATTCCTCCCCACCCATCACCTCAAAGTCCCACTTCATGGAAAAGTGTCTATACAGTGGGTAAGGGTATGATTACACTTTTAAATTGAGGATAAGTTAGATTAAAAAATGGTAAAGGTCTTTCCTATTAACCATTTTTAGCCCTCTGGTCAACAATGATATTTGCTGACAAATTAATATTCTTTAAATTTACTGACAAATGATTACTAGTATGATGGCCTAAAATATGTGAGTATCTTCCATCTATCTGCTCTAGAGAAGCAGGTAGTGTGCAAAATATTTCCCCCAAAGAGAACTAAAAACAGCAAAATCCACTGCTAGTGGGTGACGCGATGACACCAGCAGGAGAGGAGAAGAACGGCACCAGCAGAGAGCCACGGGGCCACCTTTTCTGTCCCCATCCTGTGTTCCTCTGGTGACATTTTGGACACTTCCCTCCTATTTGAATCCTTTTTTGTGTTTCAACCTGTTCACCAGGTCACGCATCTTTCTGCTGTCCTTAGGGTGACTTTTCCTCTTAGGGCACTCACAATCCTACACAAAACTCTACTGAAATAACATTGATTGGTATTAATAAGATGGGCCTTGGGCCAGCTAGGTGGTGCAGGAGATAGAGCTCTGGCCTTGGGAGTCAGGAGTTCAAGCCTCCGACACTTGAAATATACTAGCCGTGTGAGCCTGGGCAAGACACTTAACCCTGATTGCCTCACAGAAAAGGTGGCCTTCATCAACTGGGGAAAGGCTGAACAAGTTATGGTATATAAAGGTGCTGGAAGAAATGATGAAGGAAAGTGTTTCAGAGAAATCTGGGCAGACTTTTCTGAACTGATGCAGGAGCAGGAGAACCATTTATACAATGACAGCAACACTGTCCCATCAGCACAGTGACCGAACACAACTGCAGAGGACAGATGATCAAACACGCTGCCCGCCCCTCCAGATGGCGAAGGACTTGGGCTGCAGAATGAGACACATTTTCCTCTGTACGTGGCCAATGAATGCAGAGATCCATTTGACTTGACTGTACGTAACGGTAACTGGGGTTTCATTTTTCTTGCTTTCTCAACGGGCTGGGAGGAATAAAAAAACAAAACCAAAAAAGGACAGGGCTTTGTCTCGCCAGTCACAATCTGGCTTGCTCTTATCCACCTGTGGGTTCAATTCCAGGTCCACTCAGTGCCCACGTCCACTGTCCAAAACAAATACACTGAAGCATGGGCTCTAATGGATGTCTATCTGGCTGCTTATCAATTTGGACAACAGACATTTGTCATTTCTATTTCATTAACACAGTTAGGCCCACAGTTTTTTTTTTTTAAGGCAGTTGGGGTTAAGTGACTTGCCCAGGGTCACACAGCTAGTAAGTGTCAAGTGTCTGAGGCTGGATTTGAACTCAGGTCCTCCTGATTTCAGGGCCGGTGCTCTATCCACTGTGCCACCTAGCTGTCCTGAGGCCCACAGGTTTTAAGTGATTACAGATTTCACTTAGGAAGTGCTATCATATCCCAGGACGTGAGGACTTCATGCAATCAACACAATGCTTGAGGGCCTCTTCCCATCCTCGGGCAATCCCCCGTTCCATCTGGACTCCTGACTAGGCCTCCACCTCCACGAGAGGAGCGTGTACCTTTGGAGAACAAGTCTCCTGGTCTTGTGCTTTCTTACTGTTAATAATCATCAGTGTCATTTTAAAAAGCCCTGCCTCGACAGTCACTTTGCCGGACACTGACGGGAACCACGGTCACAGCCACTGTAAGACCAAGAAAGAGGAGTGAAATACAACATGTCAACTGCTCTGTTATGTGTCATGACAGCCAACAAGAAGATAAGAGCAGCCTCACAAGGAGATGCCGGATGCACTAACTGATTCGGCAAGAGGCCGCCCTGCAAAATAACGTTATATTCAGACGCATTTATGAGCCTCTCACGCTGTCCTGCAGTAGCATTTGGCACTGGGTGCCACGGTGTTTGAGAAAATAAGACGAAGTGATGCCGAGACAGCCTGGAAACAAAGGAGGCCACTTGGGAAAGGTGTACAGAGAGCCTCATGTGACCACTTCACATTACAGAGTCTGGGCTCATCTCAGTAAGAGTTTTACAAAAGAGGTGCAAAGGTTTGGACTGAATGAACTCTTAGGGCCAATAGGGCCTGCCGAGGAACACCAATAAAAGTACAGTCAGACTCCTACTTATACTTTGTTTTCATGAAGAGATGAGCCCATGTGAATTACTGTCCAGTGAAACAGAACTGAAGCAGGAGCTGAGTGACTACTCTGAGACCTTTCATCTGCTTCACTGAGAATTTTAAGAGGCTCGTACAGGAAATTATGGAGAGGCAGGGATGCTCTGACTCATACAGCCCATGAATATAAAGGATCATTGAGCTTTTAAGAAAGGACCATATACATGATCGTAGCTCATATTTACACAGTGCTTCATAATTTATAAAGTATACATATTAATATTCACAGGAGTTTTTATCTTCAGGAATGAAACGGAACTAGTAAAAAAAATGATAAACACCACTGAGATGCCAATCATGATTCTCATAAATGCCATTTATAATCCTTCTACACCTCAAAAGAAGCCTCACCTTTAAGTCAAGGTCTCCCCCAACTAGCAGGAGGATCAGAACTTGTGGGTCAATCTTGAAGTCTTACTGATTGAATATGCAAGTAGACTGATGCCTCCGTAATTGTGGAAGGGATTTCCATGCATACCCCCGCCCCAAGAGGGCCTTCCATGTATAACATTCCATGAATGACCTGACTCAAGTCATATTACACTGGTAATTATAAGACCTTGGAAAATTCAAAAACCGCTCATCACCGGCTTTCTCACTTCTTCAACCAGACTAGCAGAGGGGGACGAGTCTCTGGCTGAGCCCCTGGGGCTATCTCTTACCATTTTTGTGCATACTGGCATCTTGTGTAGCTACCGAGGGCAGGCCTTCCATCATAGAAGTCCACTGTTTAAAGCGCGATTCCGTCCCAGCTTCCTTCCCTCCAACCATGCCATAATCCATGCCACTTGAGCCAAAACCTAAAAACAAAAACCCCAAACATTCTTACACCATTCTTAGTATATTTCCAGTTTATTGAAAGATGCTGATAAACAAATGAGCTACGGGTGACAAAGTCTTCGAGTGCTTAATTCGTCACATACTCCTCATTCAAGGACTCACTGCTGGAGTGAAACTGATGCAAAATTTAACTTTTCACTCTCATCAGCTGGCAGGAAAAGCACAAAGAAAAGCTACATAAGCAGCTTTGTCCACTTTAGTCTCATTTCTGCACACATGGAAAGGCTGGAGGTGCTGAGGCTGCCAATTAGGGCTTGGGTTTTCAGCAAACAGCAGAGTCTGGGAATGGATAAAACCCTAGCACCATGCAAGCAGAGAGCTTTCTACGGCCAACAGAAAACCAAACTCGCCTTCCTTCTCAAGAACTAATGATCTTGGGGCAACCACAGACAACCTCTGCTTAGTCACTCCTGAAAATGAAACCTCAAACAAAAGTTGGAAGAAAATGTGAGAAATTTCTATCTCAATACTGTGTGTGTGTGTGTGTGTGTGTGTGTGTCTGTGCGCGGCGCGCGCATGCAGCAGAAACAGGAAGCAGGAAGGGCAGAACAAGAGGAGGCTGAGGCAGTGGGGGGACCGGCCATCCCAGAGGTTCAAGCATGCGGGCTGGCCTCTCTCGGTGTGGCCTTCCCCCGGACCTGCCTGTCAGTCACTGCTGACCTCAAAGTCTTTCTGGATTCCACCTAGAAGGCCATCATCCCTCCTCTGTGTTCCAGGTTCACTTCTCCCATAAAGCCCTTCTCTTACTCTGGCCCTCGGTCTGTCTTCCTCTACAACGCTGTACGAGAGGGGTGGCTGGTCTACCTGGCCTCTCAAGCCCCTCCGGCCGCTCCGTGTGAGCCTGTGGGGGGCCCCCCTCAAGCCCCTGGGCTGCATCCTCCTTCCCCTCCTGCACTAGGCCATGAGGCTGGCCCTCTCAGAGGCGCCTGCTCTTCTCCCATGGCTGTGGTCACACTCCTCACCAGAACTGTAGCCAGGAATTTGCCCTTTGCTCTGAAGGTCAGGGAGGCCCACGTTCAGGGCACTGGGGACCAGGTTGTCGAGATGTGGCTTGGGTCCGACAGGATGAGATGGCGAATGCTTCATGCTCGGCGGTCGCTGCTGCTGCTGCTGCTGCTGCTGCTGCAACGCGCTCATCATCCGAGCAATCTGCGGAGGAAGCAGGGCAAGCTGAGCCCTCGGCCCACCCCATCACAAGGAGCTGCTGGCCGGCCCTCCCAGGGGCCCAGCTCACCTGCTGTTCGTGCTGCTGCCGCACAGCCTGGGAGATCTTTCTCTGGTTCTGGAGCAGCTGCTGCTGTTGCTGCTGTTGTAGGAGGAGCTGACAGGCCTGCACGGGGGAAGGGGGAGAGAGAAGGGGTGTGTGTGGGGCAAGTACATGAAATGGAAATCTTATGGGCATCACCACCCCTGGCAAGAAACACCAGCACAGGGAGCAGTAACACCTAAGCATTCCATGTGACGTACATGCCAGTGTGGATGGAGTAAATTAATTCTATTCCCCCTCCTCATTTAACATGGGAGAGGATGGAGACCTAGATGAGGAAGTAAATGAGCCAGGGTCTGGATGCTACTCAACTGACCCCCAATAACCCACACACATCATTCACGTAACTATATTGCCACAGAACTGTAAGATAAAGCGCCCTGTCTCACTCCAAAGAACAACGATTATCCTCATTAGATTGAATTAACTCTTAGGAACAGCACACCCCACTCTCCCTCAATGGAGGAAAGGAAATAAGGCCCATTTAAAATACAGTGCCCCCCTCCCCCCCACTCTTCAACACAGGATTTCTTTCTTTCTCTCACACACACAGAGAGACAGACAGACACAACAGAAGAAAGGAAACGAAGCCTATTGGAAATACAGGGTCACATTACAGACAGACACCTCCCCCCAACACAGATCTCTCATTCTCTCTCTCTCTCACACACACACACACACACACACACACACACGAAGCCTATCTGAAATACAGGGTCATATCACACAAGTCCCTGTACTGCAAACAAGCCAACCCCAAACCAGAGGGAGTCATGCACACAAACATCTCTGGAGCCATGCAGCCAGAAGGAAGATGGTGTACTCCTTACCAACTGGAACTGGGGGATCTGTGGAAGCTGGCTCAGCATGGCAATCTGCTGGGGAGACAGCTGAGGCCCCAGGTTGAAAAGCCCCGGGTTCAGGCCACTGTTAGGAAACTGCTTGAGCACGGAGGCAGAAACCTAGCAAGGAAGGAGGCAGGCTTGGTGAACAGGACAGAAATGGTTCCAAGAAAGAATTCCTGGCAGCACCAGAAGCCGAGGACGAGGCATGCTTTGTGGTCCACGTTTCCTTTTGTCAATATGCTCCTTGTCTCTCACAATTGTGCTTTCACTCATTCTCTGCCTACCACCTGAGGAATGAGACTCTCCCCAGATGGACCCTTGGCTAGGTGGCAGAAAGCCTCAGAAACACCGAATAAGACTGCTCACAGGAGCTCATGGGGACCAACGTGGGATGGCACCATCACCTCCAAGTGATTCCAACAGATTTAGGAAAGAGGAAACATTTTCCCCACAGATTATGGCTAAATATGACAAAGAAATGGAACCCTAAGCCAGCCCAAGACTAGAGCTCAGTCTTAGCTGCTGTCACAGAAGCCGGGATCGTCCCAGATGGCTTCAGATTCCCAAGAGAATCTGGTCCAGGGGAAGCGCACCGACCCCTCCCCCCATGGCATCCCTGGACAAGTGCTCTTCTACCTTCTGGAGGACGTCCAGCGACAGATCTAGGGACGGGGAGCTCTCTCTGTCATGCGGGATGAAGGTAGGAGTCCATTGTCCTTTGGCTGGCTGTCATGGTTACCAACTGTCCCTTGCATTAAACACCTGCGTGATAAACTATCCCTCCCCATTAAGATGACTACTCACATTGAGCCACAGAAAAGATAAATCCAAGTGAGAAGAAATGCAGCAGTGGCCCGGGCTTTGCCAGGATGAGCTGACTGAATGCTTGTGGCTTACAAGAGGCCAACGCCCTTTCATCAAAGAGAAGAGCCCTGAAACTTCCCAAAGTCTTCTCCTCTTACCTCTGGGTCTCGTGTAATCAGTCAGATATGCACGGCTTTTTCCCAAAACACCAAAAGGGTTCTACACCAGGAATGTGTGACTCTGCACCTCCCATAACGGCCCTGCTATTTTATCCCTGCAGGGTGGCTACCTGTTACTGTCATCGTATAAGATTCCCATGACCCTACAACTTCACTGAGGTGGGCTCTTCAGGCGTTTTCCCATAAACTCTCCGGAGAAGATCTCCCCCAGACACTGGAGGCCTTTCTTGAGGCCTTTTAGGATTTCATGGGTCTGATGTCCAAGATTTTTAAGGAATTAATGCAAGTATAGAAGAGTATTTCCCCAACAGAGAAATGATCAGAGGATATGAACAGACAGTTCTTAGAGCAAGAAATCCAAGCTATCAACAACCAAATAAAAAAATGCTCCAAATCACTAATAAGAGGAGTCAAAGTTAAAGCACACGGAGTTCCATTTCACATTCGTCAGAATGGCGAAGATGGCAAATATGAAACGTAACAACTCTTGGTGGGTCTGTGAAGGACAGCAAGGACCCTGAGCACTGTGGCTTCAAGCAAACGTTTAAAAATACAGAACTCAAAGGGTGCCGTTCAGAAGGGGCAACAGCGTCGTTCTTGTGTTCAACTGAACAGCTACTGAGAGGAGCGAGTGGTGCTTGCGGTTTCAGGCCCATGGGCCATGCTCTGCCTTCTGTGCAGACAGAAAGGTTGCTTTTGTGGCCCTGCACCTTCTGGGCCCCCCCCCCCGGTCACATGCCCCATCACCTTTCGGACGCCCTGTGGCCAGGGTGGAATCTTGATTCTTCTGACACGCCTGCAGCTGTGGAGAATCCTTAAGCACAGTGGCTTTTACGGGTGAGCAGCTCGCCACACAGGCACTCATGCCTCGCTCAAGAGATGCTAAGGCATTTCTCTGACCCGCTCCCAGCTCTGCAGTGCTTGGTGTTTGCTCATGTGCTGCCTTGCGAGTGTCTTCAACTCGTATCATGGTTCTGTAGATCTATTTCTGCAACTAAGCTCTAAGCTCTTCCACAGATCGCCAATGACCTGGAGCGGACACATTCAGAAGCATCTCCAACCTACTGCTCCCATCACCCCCCAACCTGATCAGACAGCTCACACAACCTCAGGCTTGGAAAGAATCTTTGAACTGCCCAGTCATGTCCTGAGAAAGGGTCCCCCAAAGGTCATCTAGGCCTCTGCAGAGAACTTCTAGAGGAGATTCCGTTGCACCCACCAAGGGGCCCACGCCACTCCCGGACGGCTCTATGTCAGACCTCAATTTGTGTCTCCAGCTCCCACCTGTAACTACCACGTCTGGTCCGTGAGGCTGGGGACAAGCTTGTTTTCTCCACCTGTGTACACAGACAGCTCCCGTGGTTTCCCTAAGCCTTTTCTACACTGAACATTCCCAATTCCTGCAATCCAGCTCCAGGTGGTACCGCCTTTGGGCCTTTCCTCATGCAGGTCACTCTCCTCTGGACACACTTGGCTGGTCAACGTCTTCTATTCCAGGGCAGAGGCCCTCTCCTGATGTAGTCCGGCACCACATTAGCTTCCTTGCCTGCTATCTCACAAACTGCTGAGCTAACAGGATACTAAGACTCTCTGATTTTAAAAAATGAACAATCTATCCTTAGAAGCACATTGTACTTGTGAATCAGAGAGAAATCTCCTCTTCTTGAACCCAGGAACTTCTGATACCATTGGCCACACTCCCGGGCCGACCAGTCTTCTCCTATCACGCTAAACAATCCTTCTCTTGGGGGCAGCTAGGTGGCGTAGTGGATAGAGTACCGGCCCCGGATTCAGGAGGACCTGAGTTCAAATTCGGCCTCAGACACATAACACTTACTAGCTGTGTGACCCTGGGCAAGTCACTTAACCCCATTGCCTAGCAAAAAAACCAAAACAAAACCAATCCTTCTCTTTTCTCCCTCTCTGGCTATGCTTCCTGTTCCCTCAGAAAGGCACTCCATCACCATCCTACCCTCTACACACATGCTATAGTGTGGCCGTCTCCCCTACTCACTGCTTCAAAGAGGAAGAGGGGATACAGTGGAGAGGATCCCTCTGCTTGACCATGGGAAGACCCCTCTGCAATGCCGTTTCCTCAGCTATACAATGGGGCAATGCCTGGAGCACCCACCTCAGAAGGCTTTAAAAGGATGTAAATTGTCTGAAAGCCTTTAAAATATCCATAGTGACTACTACTGACTCCCAAATCTACCTTGCTAGTTCAGGTTTCTCCCCTGAAGCTTCAAAACAATGTCTATCCTGGGAAATCCTGGAGCTCTGCCTCAACCCGTCCCCAGTAGAGGTCTTTAGCCACTCCTCATTACCCCCACCCCCGGCCCCTTCAGCTCCCATCTTCACCACTCATAGCCAGCTTCCGAAGCCTGTCGCCTCTGTCGTCACGTGATCTTTGGGACACCCCTGCTCCTCTCCAGCCCCGCCGCTGCCCCCATCGTGGAGACCTCGTGGCTGCAGCCAACACAACCCCCCGGATGGGTGTTCTTTGTGGAGCTCCCTTTAGCCCCGCTGTGCTGAGCCATGGAATGGATGGATCTGTTAACATTGCTCCGCTATTCAAAACCTCTCGATGGCCATTTCCACCTCGTGGTTCATTCACGCGCACGCTTCTATGAACACAGCTCTATGCTCTGCAAAACTCACAGAGAAGAGACAGAAGGCAGTCTCCGAAGGGAAGGGACCAGCTGCTGGGGCACTAAGAAAGGCCTCCTGAACAGGATGTCCCTGGAGAAGGCTCTTGAGCCCAGCAGCTACTTGAAGATGTGGAGATCAAGAGGGAGAGCACTCCAGGCCCATGGTAGGGGGACTGGGGAGTGGGTAGTGGGGAAGGACACAGAGAGTAGCGTGTGGCAGAAAAAGACAGTGGGACAGTAGGGTTTGCTGCTGAGTGAAGGGAAGGGAACGATGTGTGAGAAGACTGGAAAGGGAGGAAGGAGTTGGGATGCAAAGAGCTTTGAACACCAAGCCAAGGAGCCGGGTGACCCCCCCCCCCCAAGATGTTTGTGTGCAGGGACTGGAGTGGCGAGAGACTGTAGGTGGGCAGGTTACTGTGATATCCCAGGGCCCGGCCCTATGAAGTGACTGTGAGAGTGGGAAGATGGGGATGTGAATAAAAACTGACAAGAGCCAGGTGGGGCAATGTCTATAGTGTGGTTGTGACTCGTTGAACATGGAACTGTGGATTATCCAAGTGGGGAGGCCGAGGGGAGCACACGGCATTGCATCCTGCAGAGACATGGGGGATCTCTGAGGAGAAGCAGAGGCAGGAGGAAGTTACTGAGAGACGGCCTCTGTGGACCATCCCACCCTCCACCGTCAAGGTCTAGTGAACAGCCCCAGCTCCCGTCCCTGAGGAAGGGCTATGGGGGTACAAGGACAAGAGCAGCAGATGAGAAGGTGAAGACAGATCACAAAAAACGCAAATGGGAACCCTGAAAGGTTCCTGGATGAGAGTATCCTTCTACATTAGAGAAGGGCACGAGGGTGCTTCTGCAGCCATTTTCTGTGGTAGCAAAGCACTGGAAATAAAAGAGGCTCTCATCATCAGAGAAGCACTAAACACACCGTGTATGTGCACAGAATGGAATGCTACTGTGCCCTATGAGATGACAAACACGGAGAACGGATGGCAGAGCGAACGGCCACGCAGCACGACGGTCACATAGTTCTGCGCCCCCTCCTCACAGCCTCCTGCCTCTCACCAGAGAGGGGAAGGATTACAGGTCAAAGGGGACGCAGGTCGCCAGAGCAGACAAGGGGCCCGTGGGGCTGAAGCGTCTATACTTACTTGTGACAAGGGCTGGACTCTGATGGGGGAGGCAGCAGGGATGATTTAGTGAGAAATGGGACAGCAAACAGCGGCAGCTAGGGGGCGCCATAGTGCACAGAGCCCCAGATCTGGGGTGAGGATGACTCATCTTGGGGAGTTCAAATCTGGCCTCAGATGCTCACTAGCTGTGTGACCCTAGGCAAATCACTTCACTGTGTTTGCCTCCGTTTCCTCATCTATAAAATGAATTAGGGAAGGAAACAACCACTCCAGCATCTTCGCTAAGAAAACTCCAGACAGAGTCACAAGTAGCTGGACACAAGTGAAATGACTGAACACCAACAAACAAGAGGAGATAAAGAACAACAACATAACATGATAACAAAAGTTTAGAAAGGGATACAAAGAAATTGGACTTTTCTTACTGACTTAAGTTTAATATACACGTCTTAGAGAAAACTGAACCTGACAGAAAGTCATACTATTAACAGAATGGTGACAGCAGCGGCAGGGTCAAGAAGTGAGTGAGTGGGAAGAGACTCTTCAAGATGTCCACATAATTCAGAGAATGCGTGAAGAGGTGTTTGAAGGGATGACAACGGAGACAGCAGGAGCAGGAGAATAACCCAAGTAATGCCTACAATCGTGACTTACAACAACAGCAAAAAACAAACAGTAAAATATACCAAAGACAATAAAAAAACAAGCCAGCGAACTGTGAGGAACATTCATTCTCCTGGAGAATTGCTAAGGCAGGGGAATTGCTTCAGACTACAGAGGCGGAGAAGTAACGTGATCTCGGAGGGGCAGATGCACAATCAGAGCGTGTCATGAGCGAAGCTGGGTCGGCTGGGCTTTGCTGAAACTTTTTTTGGGGAAAAGGATTCAAAGGTGGTAGTGGTGGGAATTAAAGAGGAAATGGTTGTGGCATAAAAACAAAAGGCAATAACGAAACTAAAAAGATAAGAAATAAGGATGTCAGTCATTAAAAATGGCAACAACGGTAACAGGTTAGGCAAAACACAAGCACCTCCATCATGCTGGGATAGCAGGGGCGGGGAACCTGCAGCCTTGAGGCCACATATGGCCCTTTAGGTCCTCAAATGCGGCCCTCTGACTGAATCTAAACTTCACAGAACAAATCCCCTTCGTAAAAGGATTTAATAGTTTATATTTTAATTTATTAACATTTATTTGTAATTCTTTATATATAAAGAATGATAAATTAATATAAAAGTTATTAATAATTTAACAAAAGCATGAGGACTAGGGCTCTCCAGGCTGGGTGGCCCAGATGGGGAGAAGGTGAGATCCACTTTCCCAAGAATGATACTGGAGGGGAACGTGCAGCCCCTCTGCCAATGGGGAGCACTTGGCGGCCTGAAGTGAAGAAGTCAAGGTCCCCTCCATCCCTGCTCCGGACCCACTCATCTGTCTGTTCCATAAGCCTCCTCTCCCCATCTCTGCACCAGAGGTCACCACGGGGGCAGGGAGGGGAGGGCCTGACCACAAGTCAGCTCGTCCAGTCTGCCCAAGGTCACCCAGGCAGAATTCAAATCCAGTGCCTTTCAGGCAGCAGCCTCATCTCTCCAGGCACAGAATCACCAGTTCTAAGAGAAAAGCAGCTCAGAATGGACAGTGCTGCAGTCTAAGTCAGTGGAGGTGGTTCTATAGTATTCTTCCTAATGATGGTGTCGTGCTCGTCTCAAGAAGGGACACGGGACAATCAGTCAATGCCTGATTTCCTTTTAAATTAGAATTTTTAAAAAGTGATCACAGGATTTTCTATTTTTTCCCCCCATGCAAAACAATAACACGATTTGTAATTTGATATACTGCCCATGAACTTTCATCCCAGACACTTAGTTAACATCCACAATAAATACTGGTAGCTATGATGCCTTTAACTTCCACAAAATCCACTGCAGGCACGTTAACAGCTCCTAACCCCCTGGCTTCTGGCCTTCCGAGTCATCAAACTGCTTACCTGGGGAGAAATGAACTGGGGAGGCACTTGTGCCCGTAGGTTAGGGGAAGAGTTTAGCGGCTGCACTGGCGTGTGCATGCCCCGCGATTGTGCTGTGCTATTTCCAAACAAACCGTGATTGCCACCCTGTAAAAAAAAGAAAAAGGAGAGCCGAAGAGCTTTGTTTATTTTCCGTAGGAAAAATACCAAGAAGCAGACACTAGCCTAACTCCCACTACTGACCTGCAGAAGGTGTGAGGCCTTCCCAGCCTATGGCTTGTAAAAGAAGTCTCCAACTAGCAAGCTTCTGACCCCAGGACCGCCTTCAAGTACTGTTATCTAAGAACTAACAAGTACCCAACGCTGTGACTAAAATCTTCTCCTGGAGCTTACTCAACAGCCGATGGTTTTTGGGTTCAATGCAGTTAACAGCCTCCCCAGCACCGTTTGTAAAGAATGCCATTTTCTTAGCCACTCTATTTATAAATGCTAGTTTTACTCAATACCCACATCATTCTCAAATGGAATAAGAGAAAAATGTCAAAACTCATCATAGTATGGATTGTCTGTCAGATTTCTAAAGAGCCAAAGTATTAAAGAGGTTCTACTGTGTCTAGGCTAGAGAGAGAGTAGGAAGCTTTGCTGATTCTTCTGTATACCCTATGTCTTGGGGGAGGGGAAAAAGCTTCCTCTGGATCTGAGCCAGCAGCCCTTTTGGTCCCAAGATGTGGAGGTCTTCAATAGGAACAGCAACAAACACTAAACCCCTGCTTTTGGGTGCGCGGGGGATACAAAGGGAGACATACCCAAGAATGTTTATTCTGGTGCTCAATAACACCACCCAACAGCCTGGCCAGACAAGCGCCCGGATTACTGGGATGCAAGGGAGGGTTTGGTGAGTGGGTGAGAAAGCGGGGGGAGGAGAACCTTGAAAGGGGGACCATCGACAAATGCAGATGGGGGGCAGGCTGCTGAGGCTGGCATAAGCAAACACACTGAGTCAGGAGGGGAGACTAGGGAGCAGATCACTGAGTCTGGAGCTCGGCACACATTCACACGAGATGAGGCCACAGAGTGACGGGGGTGCCTTTTGGGCCGACAGGGTCTGAATTCGCAGAGGGGAGAATTAACAGGCAAGGCAGCTGAGTGGACTGGGGCAGGGGAGGAGGGAGATGAAGGAAGGAGAAGAACCAAGGTCACTCAGAGGTTCTGAGACTTGGTGCTAGAGAAAAGAGCAGGATCATCAGAAGAACAGAAAAGAAGAAAATGAGTAGCTCCTCTGCGGAATGGTGTGATTCCTCAAGGAGGCACCTGAAAATCCAGGCCTGGAGCTACCAGGAGAGATCTGGGGGTGGAGAGCCCCCTTGGGGATGACGAGTGACTGGAGAGGAAGAGAGAGTGCCAGGGCCTGCCCACCCACAGAGGGGAACATCCCTGACCTCTGGAGAACCACAGGCCCGAGGAAGGGCTGGCACGCAGGGAAACCAGAAAGGCATCCTCCAAGAGTGTTCAGACAGAGCCGAGCCAGACCTTGATGGAGGAGGCCGTGTTTCAGGAGTCGATTTCAGAAAAAGCATTTTAGCTGAAAGATGCCTTCTCACCAATGTTCTACAAGATGAGAATCTAGTCCAGTAAACTGCCTTCCTCCTCTTAGGGCTTGGAGGCATCCTTTTGGAAATCCCGAAGAACCTCTCTGTGCCCGGCCTGGCTTCTAGTGTGAGGGCAAACCTCTTCAAATCATGAAACCAACTGATGGCAACTGCAGCTTTACTAGAGCACACTTACAAAGTCAGGATGGGATGGAAACAGCCAAGGCTGAAGGTTCTGAAAAGGGGCCTAGCAGATCCACGTCCCTCGACCCCACAATCCTACTGTTGGCACAGACGCCAACAAGGCCCCGCATTATCATGAAATGTTCTCTGTCGTACTTTTTGTGGTTACAGAGATGCAGAACCAAAGCAGGTGCCTACAGCTTGGGGAAAGGGCTGAACAACATGGTACATCAAGAATGGGATTTCATTGTGCTGCTGTAAGAAAGGAGGACTTACACGAAATGATGCTGAGGGAAGTCAGCAGAACCAGGAAAACAGAGTGTAAGACTGTAACAACATGAGCAGAAAAAAATGCAGCACCACGGAATGCTTTGTGATAACCATGATCAAGCTTGATCCTGGACAACAGATTTTAAAAAAGGCTCTCCCTTCTACCACTGCAAGGTGAGAACCACGGGTATGCAATGGACATACACACTCAGGCTCCCATCTGCGTGTTCATTGTTTTGATAGAACCAAATTTTTCCTTCAAGTCACTACTACAAAGAGAATCTTCTTCTGGGGAAGGAAGGAATATATCTGGAAAGGATCATAATGAAAAGAAAAAAAGGCATAGAGATGTAAAAATTTTAAATTGAAAAAAAAATAACCAAATTAGGATGAGGGAGAGGCAAAGCACTTAAGTGCCTACTGCGTGCCAGGCTCGGCTAGGCTCTTCCCAGCCTGTTATGATGACTGGGCGTGCAGCATTTCACATAGTGAACATGAACACACTTCCCAAAAGGCAACAACTTTTCTTCAGGGCCATTCCACTGTAACTGCTGGTTTTGCATTTCTGCCATCACTTATGATTATGCTGGGGCAGCATTCACAGCTGAGATGACCCTGGAGCCCAAAGGGCAACATTACAAACTCCTGGAACCCTGGAGGGCCTCCCAAGATGCATTCCTAATAACAGCAACGAGGACCCTTGAAGGGTGACATTTGGCCTGAGACAGTCTGAATTATTGAGGTCACAGAGCAGCCTTGTAGAAACCACTGGGAAAAATGTGAAAGTAAATATTAATCAGATAAGAGATGGGGGTCTTAAGACTTGAATGACAAGTGGAAGGAAGGAACCATCTTTGTCCTTACTATACCAGAAAACCAAAAGCACAGAGGAACATTGTTCCCATCTGTCCTCCACCAGCATCCCCTACAGGGGCCACCCACTGCAGCCCAACAGCTGGACCCCCAGAAAGGTCCCTGGATCCTGGGAAACAGTGGCAGAAGGACACCTGTCTCCCCCCCCCCCCCGCCCCAGCCTCTTCCATCTCCTCTTTGCTGCTCTGACTCAAGAGGTGGGTTCTCTGGCTTACCCATCTGCACTCCCTCTGCTCAGAAACAGAATCTGTCTGGTATGGCGCTAGCATTCATGTGGCTGGTCAGAAGGCCACAGAGGAGCTTGACACTGCTCAGCTACTTTTACAGGTAAATGACAAATGCTGTGATCCTTATGGGTTTTCTCTCCCAATGGCAGCTTTTCCTCCCACACTTAGGCAAACTGCATTGAGAAGTGCTTAGGAAATATTCTGTATCATTCTGTTTAAAAACAGCATCATCTAGGTTGGCCCATGGTCCTGCACCAAGGCATCTTTCTACCATCTTCTCCCTATCATTTTCAGATAGTAGACCTGGTAATTTGGAGTTCATAAGGAAGGGGTCACTCTGGCTTACACCTAACCCAAGAAGCCCACAGAGGAAAGCTGAAGGGCTGAAATGACCACAGCGTAAGCTTCCTCTCACGTTACACGCTCAGCAGAGCAGCGTCCCCCAGACTGATAGCAAGGGCAGAGCAGGACCAAGGCCAGCTCCCAGCCCTGGTCCCAGTAATACATTGGAGAGGCCTCCTTACTTGTCTAGCAGCGAAGTTTTGGGGGTTGAGCCCTGTGCCGATTGCCCCCAGGCTGACGTTGGGTGCTGTGGAGCCAGAGGGAGACAGCTTGTAGCTGGGAGACGGGGAGAAGGGAGAGCAGGGAGCCTCATCCCCCAGGCACCCGTCTTGATTGGAGAAAGGCAAAGTCAGCTGGAGAACAGGCGTTAGCCAATCCCAGGGTGGGTTGGTTAGTGAAGCGACAGAAGGCAAAGGAGGAAAAGAGAGAAACAGCAGCAACAAGCCAAGTTAGTGTCTTTTAGCACCAAGGAAGCCCCACGTCTCATCTGACCAGCTCAGCCATACTATGCCTGACAGACCCACTGCGGCCAGAGGCCAGATGGCTCTTTATCTTCCTGCTGCTGACTCATTCTGCTCAGAGGCAGAAGAGAACCCTGCTGGGCAATGTGTCTGTGTCTACATCTGATACTGACTAGTTCTCACTCAGCTTCCGCAAGCACAGAAGCCCAGGGACCCTGGTGATCTGGACCAGCACTGCTGCTGTCCGGGGCCGGCTCGTGGCCCATTCCAGCGCGTTCACTGTCCTCTGAAGCACGGGGAGAGTCAGCAAATGCTTCTTCTTGGACACAGTCAAGGCCTACCGCTGACTTCTGGCCTTAGTTTGACAATAATTTAGAGGTCTGCGGTAAAATTAATTAACAAACATCAAAAAGAAATATTCTGAGCCCAGCCTCCCCCTGCTCGCCCCCAAGGCAGAAACCACGAATTCAATCAACACAGACCAAAAGGGCCGTCTATTCATATTGGTGAAAGGAATACATCACAAGAGAGCAGTACAGCTTAAAAAAAGACAGAAAATGAAGGTAACCAGCAAGTTTCTCTCAAGAGCAAAGGGAGAAAATTGCCAGCCACCTGCAGGGGGGAGGGAAACGGGGTTGGCCACCTTGTGGCCCAGGCGCCACGTCAGCCAGCCTAGCCAGCAGAAATGCTCGTGGCTCAGAACGACTGAGATCCCCCTCAGCCTGCAGCCACTTCTACCTTTCCTCATGACGTCCTCTGCCCTCCAAATTTTGTCAGGTGTGACCTCTGCGGGTACAAAGGCTGTAATCTCACAGGTTACATGCTGTCAGTGTCTGTGCTTAGCTCTGGACTTGGGAATTCTATGCTCCTTCATTCAATCATCAGATGAAAACCCAAATGGATCTCTTGTATAACTGATCATCATCAAGAATTACCCTCACCTTTTCAAAGTAAGGCCCGCTATCTGTGGTTCCCATGTCTTTGGAATTAGGTGGACGGAACCCAGATCTATCCTTCCTCATGATATCATTAAAGTCCCCGAGATTCATGGCTCGTTTGTCCACATCAAACTTCTTGTCAGGAAGGCTCCCTGAAAAGGCAATGAGAAGAAAGGGTATGGTCAGTGGTCAAGAATCCATTCCCTTACTAAGCCAGCCTCTGTTATATGGCTCAAAAGGTAGGAAAAAAATGTCAATAAATCATAGAAACAGGTGAGACATCTCAATTCCCCCAAATTATTTCAATGAGTATCAACTCTTGGTCAGAATATTAAAGATTTCATGGTGATTTTTTAATTCAAGTTTAACAAAACAACCTGAGTTTTAATATAACTGCACATTTGTAAAGGCTTTTTAGATTAGGGCATTTGTACAATTCTGCATCTCTCTCCTTTCCTATTATAACCCCCTCACATAAACCCTTTGATCCTGTCAAATGGATCCACTCAACTCTTTCCCAGAACAGAATGCCACAATGAAACCTAGGTGGCTTTGTAAAGGTCCCCCACTCTGAGCCCTCACCCAGCTGCACCTTTGCAGCTATTCACCATGTCCCAACACCCAGCCTGAAACCCCTTCTCCCATCATCCCACATGGAAGGTCCACTGACACCCAGCATACGACTGACTAGTACTAACAGGTATCCTTACATACGTGTGCATTTTCTCTAACAAGGCTGCAAACTGCTCGTAGCTGAGGACACTGGGGGTGTCCTGTACCCCTCCCAAGAATTATGCTTTTAATTGCATAAAATCAAATCTATAGGATTACAAAGGAAATCAATTATAGTAAAGCCCAGAGAATCTGTATTTTTTTCCCCATTCCTGCTCATGGACTCCCTGAAGAAGCCAAGTGTTTGGCTGAGAGTGAAGGAGGGTTCCTGGGGCGGTTGGACCACTTCGGACAAGATCACTCGCCAGAGGGAGGATTCCTTTTCAACCCACGCTATTCTAGAGAGACTGTGAAGCCCCTCATTTCTCACGGCCTCCAGTTCGTTAACTCCTCAACCCTTCCCTGTTAGGAGGTACCGCAGATAATGTGACAAAAATCAAAGTCCGTTCCATATCAATACAGTAATAGTAACACTCATGGCAATACACACCTACAGACAAATCCATCTTACTGGCTGGGCTGTCCTCAGCTTGACTCTGAAAAAGGAAAAAGAAATGAGAATGGATCATGCTGCATGTGCAGACAGCCTCTGGAAAAGAGGAGGCAGCATTCTTCACCAAAGAGCCAGCCCTCAGCACAGGTGTGCAGAAGGGCATTCAAGGACACTCCCGGAATCCCACTTTAATGAAGGATGAAGAGTGTGCCAAATGAAGCCTTTTCAACCCAGCCTCAATATAAACGAACAGGACTCCTGTCAGTTCCTTCGGATAAATGGAGTTCAATTTTCACATACAAAGAGACCACAAAGTTCAACAGGCAGAGAAGAAGAGTTAAATAAACAGTGTTGGGGAGAAACAAGCCACTATCTTCAAGCACCAGGAGGCCTGTGATTAAATTCTAGGCCGAGCCGCCAGGCCATGACAGCTCTTTCTTGTGACTTGTCAAGTCACCAAACCCTGAAATGTGCAGCCAAGGGAAGCTGCTCTTCTTCTGGCACTGAGGGACAAAACACCCCCAACAAGACAAAAGTATGTTAAGAAAAACCCCAAGGACCCCCACCCTCTTATCTTTCACTCATAACCTGGTTTACTTCTTAAAGTAACAAGGGCAAATCTAGTATTATAATGGTCAGGAATCTTTTCGATTTTGAAACCTGGGAAATGACAACTAACTTAAAAGCCAAAGACGGGAGAGATGATTGAGCTCAAGAGGGCTGGGAAAAGACCAGTATGACAAGAGAAGAGACAGTGACTGCAGAACATCAACCACGACAACAGTTCTATCATTTCTCACACGTCCAGCTGGAAGGGCATCAGCTGAACACTAATCCTGTGCCTCCCCACAAAAGGTGGCAAGACATTCCGTGGGAACCTCAGGGGAATGAAAGTTAGAAGCAGCCGTAGCTGGGGGCGGGGAAGGAATTAAACTTACCAGCAATCCCATATTTGAAAACTGCTTGGCAAGAGGATTCATCCAGGAATCACTGTTTCCGCCTTTTAGTGAACACTACAAAATACACATAAAACACACAATGTCAGAACAAAAAAAGAAATCTTTCTTTTCCTCATTAAAATGAAGAACTCAAATGGTACTTGTCTGAACCTTACTACTACTCTTTGGAGCTGGGGATGGTGTGATCTACGTGTAGCTTTCAGCCCTATTTGGCTTATTTAGACAGCACAAAGCTGAATGACTTCCCAAACAGCCAGTTACATGTGGTGTGGGATTTGAAATCGATTAAATTGCAAGAAGCAGATATCAAGTTTTTGAAAACAGCATTTTTAGCTCAGCATTCTCCTGTTCCCTGAGGTATATTCTCTCTAATTCAAGCTTGCCTGAGTTGGGAGAAAGGAGAACAGGACAGCTGACAGCAGACATGATTTAAAAAGGAACTACAGGGAGTACAGGGAGAAGCTCACTGACACTGGCTATTGCCACAGGCCTGACAGTGCAATGGAGAGCGTATGGACTTGTCAGGAAGACCCGAGTTCAAACTCTGGCCGAGGCACGGAAAACAATGCAGTGAGCTCCTTGCCACAAACTCCTCCTCACAGATCTGGAAACTGTACTTCATCCAGTTTTGATGGGGAAAGCCCCAAGTCCCAGACAGTGCTTGGTCTAGTGCGGCCAGGCTCAAGGAGACAGAGGGACATCTGCACACACTGGTGACAGGGTTTGGCCAGGAGTAACTGCCCACAGAGCAAGCCAGTCCCCAACAAGAGGCACGGGTCTCAAACCCATGCCAGGCCATCACAGCAGGGGCAGGCGCCAACTGGCATCTCCGCTGCCCACTACCCAGTCCCAAGGCAGAGTGAGAAGGGTGCTGGCACTGCTGGGTAGGGAGGCCCTGGGCAGTTTATTGAGAAAGGAGACGTTCAGAAGCTGCTGCCACCACCACCACCAACAGCAGCGGCATCAATGTGGCTTAGACCCCAAGCTCAGAGCAGGCAGGGTCTCACTTCCAGCCTCTAGCCCAGGCTGCAGGGCAATAACCAGAGTGAGAATTCCTAGACTGAAGGGGAGCCTACAGCTCTGCTGCTCTGAACCCCCAGGGTTTCCCTGCCGGCTGACAGGGGCCAAGTCCAACAGCATCCATTCTGCAGGGCGATCAGACTCTGCCCTGGTCAGACCACTCTGGGAGCACTGAGAGCTTACAGGTCCCCAGCCTGAGCTGTCCCTGAGATCCTGAAACAACCTGACGTTCAATACCCCAAGAAAGCGCCAGCGGGACCAGGCCAGACTCCCCCTTTGGGGGAAAAGCCCTAATGGGCTTTTATAACCGTGCAGGGAAGCTCCAGACACAAGCCCAGAAAGAGAGAATGACTCCAGAATGTCTATAAGCAAAGCCTCAGAGAAAAACACAGCCCAGGCACAAACTCAACCAGAATTCCTGGAGGAGATGAAGGAAGAGTTTTTATAACTGGAATGAGAGCACTTGAGAAAGAATATGGAAAAGAAATGAGAGCTGTGTAAGAAAGAACTGGAAAGGGAATTAACAGACAGCTTGGCACGAAGGGTAGAAGACTTGGCAACACACTCCCTGAAAATGAGAATGGACCAAATAGAAGCCACTGACTCCATGAGGCAATAAGAAATATTGAAATAAAATCAAAAGGCTGAAAAAATATAAGAAAATGTATCTTATAGCAAAAACAACTGACTTAGAAAACAGATTAAGGAGAAAAAAAATTAAAAACAACTGGACTATCTGAACACCATGACCAAAAACAAGTCTGTTCCAAGAAATCTTAAAAGAAAATTGCCTAGATTTCTTAGAACCAAAGGATAAAGTAGAAAAAAAGAATCTACCAGTCACCTTCTCCCCCCAAAAAAATACAATATGAAAACTCCCAAGAACCCCACTGCCAAAAATCCAGGACTTCTAGCTCAAAGAAAAATTAATGCAAACAGCCAGAAAGAAGGAATTCGAGTAAAAAGGAGCCACAGAAAGGATCACACATCATTTAGTAGCCACCACTATAAAGAAAAGGAGAACTTGGAATATAATGTTCCAAAAGGCAAAAGAGATGGATTTACAGTCAAGAATGACTTAGCCAGCAAAACTGAGTATAATGTTGGAGGGGAAAAGACAGACAGACCTTTAGTAAAATAGAGGACTTCTAAGCATTCTTGATGGAAAGACCAGAGTTATGGACAAGACTCTGAAGTTTAAATACAGGAGTCAAGAGAAACATAAAAAAGGTGAACATGGGGGCAGCTAGGTGGTGCAGTGGTTAGAGTTCCAGCCTTGGAGTCAGGAGGACCTGAGTTCAAATCTGGTCTCAGACACTTGACACTTACTAGCTGTGTGGCCCTGGGCAAGTCACTTAACCTCACTGCCTCACCAAAAAGGAAAAAAAAAAGTGAACACGAATTAACAATGATAAAGGCCTAAACAAGGATAAACTGTTTACATTAAAAAATGTAAGGGGAGGACACATGTGTCCCTCTGAACTCTGTCAACAAAGTTCACAGAGGGAGTCTAGTTAGATTAAGGCCTAGGAGTGTTCTACTATGTCTTGAAGATGAACAAAAGAATGGAAAAAGAGGAGAAGAGGAATACATGGGAGAGGAGGAAATAAAGGAAGGTTAGGAAAATTATCTTACATCATCATATGCACACGGAGACATCTACAGAAAGGAGGTGGTTTTGGAAAGAAGGGGACTGACACGTGAACCTCAACTCCCATCCAACCTGGTCAAAAGGAGGAGGAACACAAGCACACGTGCTGAGAGCTGGGCACAGAAACACATTTCACTCAACAGTGAAACAAAGAAAGGGGAAAAGGAGGGAGGGAGAACCAGAAGGAGCACTGGTTAGAGGAAATAGCAGTTCTAAGCAGCGTGCAGAGGTATCTATAGCTCTCTGAGGTGGCAAGGAATGGAGTCTGAGGGGGGACTCCTACACTGGGGAGTGAATGAGCCAGCTATGGCTTACCAATTGTGACGAAATACTAACTGTCAGGAAGAATTCTTCTCAGCACAATGACCAAGCAGGATTCCAGAGGACTAATGATGAAATAGGCTACCTACCCCGACACACAAATGAAGGACTGAGAACGCAGAATGAGACAAGCATGTTTTTGGACGAGGCCAACGTGGAAATTTGTTTTGATTGACTATGAACATGTGTGGCAAGTTTTGTTTTTCATGGGGTGGCTCTAATCCTAGGAGATGAGGAAAATATGATAAACAGGATTGGAGTTGAGGGTATCTCAGAAAACGCAAGCATTTGCCTGACATCAGATATCAGCTTCTGGATCATGGCAGGTTATAGACACGCCATCGACAGGGAAATGCTCTGTCTTGCTGTCGTAGTTGCCTTACAATTCTGCTGATCAATTTTGAAACCACTCCTTTATTTGTGGCAGACTGGTGCCTCAACTCTCTTTCTAAATCTTTGGCAAAGTTAACTTTCAGTTCAATGCCTCTGTCTTTATTTACTAAATGATGACCTTACTGTTTAGGTAAGCACGGCAGAGCAAACATAGGGGTGGAGTGCAAGAGTGAGAAGGTAGATTTTGGCTGATTAAAACAAAAAAAATTTTTTAAAGAAAAATAAAAATTGGGAACTCTGATCAATACAATAATCCCCGAGGACTTGTGATGAAACATGGTGCCCGCTCCCTGACAGAAAGGTGGCGGACTCAGTATGCAGCCCGAGACATATTTTAAAGACACTGTCAATGAACACCTGTGTTTTGCTTGACTATACGGGCTTATGACAAAGGTTTTGTTTTTCTTGCTTTCTCAATGTGGTGAAAGGAAGTGGAAGGAAGAAAGGGCTCATCTCTGAAATTAAACTAAAATTAATTTAAAAAAAAATCTGCCTCAGACACTTTCTTGTTATATACACAGGGCAAGCCATTTGGCCTCTCTGCCTGTCTTCTTATCCGTCAATAGATCCACCACCTCGTGACAGGGGTCCGATCTACCAAAAACTCTGCTCTAAATTTAGAGTTGGCTGCTGACTGTGGGAGGCTGGGGCACCAATCCCTGCCCCATGAACTGAATGGAGCGTCCAGAAGGTCCCCAAGAGCAGGATCCATTCCCCACTGTTGAGAGGCCGGCTCTGGGAGCTGCACATCTGTGCGCAGCGGGCCAGGCGCCTCCTTGGCAGGGACACCCCTTGGAGCACGTGCCCCCGGCCTCCCAGAGGCTGCTTCCTGGCCAGGCTCCTGGGAGAGTCTAGGATCAAGACAAGGCTATTCTTATTTATATGATGACAACTCAAATTCAGGCATGAGTTCTGTTAAAAACACGGCCTCCTGTCCTCTGCTGCCTTTTAGGCTATTAGTGTAGCAGGGTCACAGGGTCCCGAGATTTTAGCTGGGAGAAGCCTTGGGTTCACATAGCCCAGCTAGTGGCCAGAGAGGAGCCGGCCTTCCTGGTCTTGATCCTCTGGTCACACACACGGGCTTGAAGTCAGCTCTTTGGTGTTTAGAGTCACACTCGTCAGCCCCACCTTGGAGGATCCCGAGCTTCCTTGAGAGCCCAGCTCAAGCACCTTCTCTCTCAACAGGAAGCCTCTTCCCGTCTCCCAAGCTGTTGGGATCCTCCTCCCAATAACTCGGCAGACGCTTTGTGTGTAACTTTCTACGTACGTGTTCTCCTCAAGAGATGGGAAACTCCACAATGGCAGAATGTTTCATGTCTGTCTCTTTCTTTCTGGCCCACTGGCTGGCACACAGTAGGTGCTTTCAAAATGTTTATCGAATGGACAGATTGCTCTTCTTTGCAGTCAGCAGGCAAGCAGAGAAACAGCACATCTGTCGGCCAGAAAGTCCTCTAGCGCCACACTCTCTTGGGCAGGATCAAAGACAAGGGGGCACAATATGAGCCCAGGGCAATGACTAGGGTCAGGTAGGGTACCTGAACCTTTCTGAGCTGACGCTTGATTAACCAATGCTTGTTGATGAATAAATTAACTCAGAAAAGCTAAATAAGAGGCCACCTGCTCCCATTCTTGTTAATACCAAACGATGTTGCTTATGCGTTTTATAAAGAACAAAGCCTAGAAGGAGAGCAACTGGGCGTTTACGTCAGCAATGGGAATCAGTTCTGCTGCTGTAGATGGACGTAACACACCACCTCTACATGAAGACAGTCAGGAGATGGCTAGCTTTTCTAGCGCGTCAAGCTCCTTTACTCCTGTCTCCCTCTGACGTCTCATTGTGTGGGCAGGTGGGTGGGTAGAGGGGACGTGGGTTCTCAGAACTGGCCCCAGACCTCTCCTCCTTTCTTTGTGGGGGCAGACCACCACGAGGGTGGACCAGAGCTTACAGTCTCATGCCTTTTTTGTGTGTTTCTAGTTCTCCTGAATGTTTCTCCCTTCTTTTTTATTCTTTGTCAAAAGTAAAGGCCATCTCCCTGGAAGGCCAAAGGAGAGGGACACACTGGGGGAATGTAGGTTAGGTGAAGACGAGACACCAATACAAGTTTATTTTTCTTAAAGTTATGCCCTAAGAATGCAGATTCTGCCCTGCCCTTCCTAAGATGAAAGGCATTCTATGTGGTGCTGGCGATGGAGCCAGCTAGCTCAGCTTGGAAAAGTGCTTGACACCAGCCTGCCTGGCCACAGGATGATCAGTTTTTTGCCCCATGCACTCTCAAAGACCAACTACAGTGGCCAGAGGAACAATAACTGATGTTGTGGAGAGAGAGTCGGCGAGACAGAATTACAGATCCTCCACAGAAAAGATGATGTTAGCTCTCTAGTAGAGGCGCCAGAATATCATCAACAGGACTCTTGACGCACCCCCCCATATTTGGCAGCACCTCATTCTAAAAGGTGAACTTCAGTTTGAAGGGGAAATATCTTTTTTTTTTTTAAAAGGCAATTGGGGTTAAGTGACTTGCCCAGGGTCACACAGCTAGTAAGTGTCAAGTGTTTGGTCTGAGGCCGGATTTGAACTCAGGTCCTCCTGACTTCAGGGCCCGTGCTGTATCCACTGCACCCTCTAGCTGCACCCCCGATGGGGAAATAGCTTTCACCCTGCTTCCTCATTAATCATATCTTCAACCACTGAAGTCACCATCGCCTTTCTTCAGTGGTCACTTACTTGTCGAAGCACACTGAGGGGAGCTAATACACTGCGAGACCCATCTCCCCTCTTTGTAAATCCTCTATATGCTTCACCCAATAGTCACACACTTGGAGTCAAGAACTTGGGTTGGCTTCCTAGATCGCTCTTCACTCAAGGCCTTTTCATGGCTAAAATGAGGGAGCAGAATAGAGGGTTTCTAAGATCTTTTCCGTTTTAAATCCTATGATCCTATCACTTCTACGTATGTTAACGGCTTCCGATAAGAACCTAAAATAAGAAACGAGAGGGGCTTGAGTTTCAGCAAACCCTTCCTTTATGCTTTGGCGCTCCTTATACATGATCAAGAATGCCTTTATCCACCCTCCAAACACGGAGCAGTCAGTTAAGGTCAGAAGAACAGTGGGTCAGAAGATGACAGCAGTAGGAAAAGGATAAATAAAATTAAGACTTTTATGCCACCGAATGCTCTTAAAATCTCTATCATGGGCCACCCAAGGCTAACTGGCCAGCTTGCTGCAATGAATTCTTTGGCCAAAGGAAAAGAACCCAATCTACCACCTCCTCTCAGGAACAGAGTAATAAAATGCCCACTTTCCCAACCCTTCTATAAATGAACCTGGTAGCAGCAGCAGCTTTGGACTCAACCTCCCCCCATCCCTTTTACCTTCATTTGCTGTTTCTTGCCTCCTTGTCCCCAGCCTGCTGAATTATGAGAGGAGCTGCTTCCCTGAGAGCCTGCGGTGTTCCAAACTCCTCCGTCGTCATCTTCTTCCCAGCTGGGATGGCGGGTCCCTGTCACTGGCCCATCGCTCTCCCCCCATCCGTCTTGCATAGATTTGGAGTCTTTAAGGAAGAGAAATAATTCAGCATTCAGCAGTCATGACCAGGGACTAGAGAGACTTCACCACAGAAGCAGAGCCTGTGATTGCTGCTAAGTCCAGCACAATGCGTCACGGTTCCCTTTCCCAGCCGAGCACTACTGCCCTCCTCCTGGAGAGCGAGACTCGCTCACGTTCACTGAGTGCTTGTTCCACAATAGCGCAGTGACACACGTAGCACAGACTGTGTTGCCTTTGTGTGGAAAGATGACGTGTGGGGGAGGGGGAAGCCGCAACCCCCAGCCTGGGCCCTCTGCCTACTCCTTGACTATGTATACCACAAGTGCCTCGGGTTCTTTCTGGGCAACAGTCTAGGTACCACAAACCTGGGATACCACAGACACCTTCATCTGAAATGAAATGGAGGAGAAAAGATGGCCAAGAAATACTGACAACAGGAGAAGAAAAGAGAATGTGCAGGGCAGTGACGCAAAGTGGATCTCTGAAAATTATTAGAGGTGAATGAGACTTTGGCAGAGAAAGTGAGGCAACAATGATTTGGGGCAGGGCAGGGGGACAAAGAGGGGGAAAAGCAAGAGGGGAAAAGGTGAGAAGCACGTGGGAATCTGCTCAAGAGGTAGAGTCTTCTATTAAAATTCAGCTTTCCGTTCTCAGCACTTACGGTAGGAAACAGGACATCAATGCTTGAGTCAGTGCTAACCTCCCACAGTCAGAGGTCTTCAACAGCTTTTAGATTAAAGCTAAATTGTTTAATAATTCAAGGTATTTTAGGATAGTCTGAAGTTCTATTTGGGAAAAAATTACATTAATGCAAACCAAGTCTGCTTCCAAATTTCTACTTCCTAAAATCACAGGGTACGTGAAGGGGGGGGAGGAGGGGGAAGATAAATTTAAATCATTTAAATCTTGTTATTCCAGAAATGCAGCACTTTTGGCCTGCTCCCAATTCCATTATAGCCCACTGCTGCTTCTAGGAGACTTAACAGCTATGATGATGCCCACTAAGGACCATCCAGATGTGCCAGGCTGATTCCAATATGATGGGCTCCGTGGCATCCCAAAGCACACCCTGACTGAAGCAGCCCTCTCTTACAAGTTCCTTCAGTGCTGTTGGTACCCTTCTGACACAGTGGAAGACTCTGGCATCAGTAAAGAGCCCAGAAAGTGCTCCCCCTCCCCCAACCCCACCACTGACAGAAGTAATAGGACAAATAATGAGGAAACATTCTCCCTTTGACTAAAAGCTGCTCTCACAGTCCCTAGGACTGACTTTTAGGTATATGAGATTAAGTACTAATGTATATATGACTGAGATTGAGTAGGAAATGTGTGGACAATGCTTCATTGTGCATTCAGAGAATGGCTAGCATTCTCATTCAAAGATTTGGAGGAAAACACCGTTACTAAGAACTAGTTTAGTAAAAGCAGTCACTTAAGAAAAGTCTTTATCTGTCTGTACATATGTACTCAGTCTAGAGGGCAAAGGGATATAAAGCAAGTCATCTGAAGTCTAGTTGAAGAAACAACAGGAATTTTGTTCTGAAAGGTGAAGATATGGATTCGGGGTGGGGGCACAGAGCTGAAGGGCTGTGATTATGGAGGAAGAGCTAGCCTGGTTCTGCCTGTCCCTACAGGGCAGAGCTAGGCCTAAGGGGGAGAGGTCACTGGGAGGAAGAACACTCCTCAACAAGAGGGAGATCTTTCAGCGATCCCTACTCTTCAAACCTAAGGGGCTATCTGTGTCAAGGTAGGAGGAGGCAGGAGAGAGGGCGTGCCTGCTTCATGGAAGGGTTGGACTACAGAACCTCCAAGGTCGCAAGACCATGGAAGATCCTCTTTACCTCAAAGACTCCAAAATTGAAAAAAAAATTTTGTCCAGAGAATTACTAAACGGTATACTAACTTGTTTTATGGGGCCTAAAACCTCAAACATGCCATTTTTAGCCTGGGGCAAAGGCCTGGGTTGAGCCCACACACAAATCTGGCTAAGTGTGCTATTACAAGCACTCTGGAGGAGACATTAATGATCCACATGGGTATCCTTATCTGGGAAAACATTTCTCTGAGTCTGAAGTAGGGTCAAGACGATGTCACGGAAGAAGGGAGATCCTAGGTTTGGGATAGTTCTATACAACTGAGCCAGACGACACCCTGTCTTCCAACATCTAAAATGTTTCATTTGAACTTGGCCATCTGTTGGCATACTGGCATCTCTCCCACAGAAACTCAACTCTGATTTTATCAGCAAAGTTAAAGGGAAAATAGAATTTTCATGAAATGAATGTACTTAATGAGCACTTTATATGGAACACTGTACAAAGTGAAAGACTGACCCTTCAAAACTAAGTAAGTCCACTTACTTCTAGACATCATAACCTACTTAATTTTTAAGCTTTGTCTCTCTGGCAGGACTAAGCCTTTCCGGTTCAGGCAAGATCATATGCCTAATTATCATGTCATCTGAATTCTGTAAGGGAAATTAACAAAACAAACAGATGTTCACTGCCACAGCATTCTCCAAGACTCGTGAAAGTCTTCTCTAGGAGATTTACTGACATCAGAAAACCAAGAGACAACACAATAAAATTGCTTTTTAGAAGAGAACAGACACATGGGAAGAGTCTGGACAAGCTGAAAACAACTGAAAATGGACCTTGGAAACAATCTATCCAATTTAACCACAGTTTCTAAAATCTGGCCTGTTGTGAGCGGGTAGAATCCCTGCGCGAGCATCTGCCTGGTCCCAAGATGACTGGATTCCTTTGCCAATATCCCCAACAAGGAGCCATTTGCTTGAACAGCTCACCCCTCAAGGACTCCCATCCTGCTTCTGAATTATTCTTAATTTGAAGGCAGTTTTCCTTAACAACACTAATAATATATCTGCTTCTCTGAAAAACAGAGCACCTGCTCCTAAAATCCACCCTCTGTGGAAAGAGAGAGGGAAGGAGGCAGAAAAAAGCAAAGGTGGAGGAAGGAGAAAGAGACAGAAAGGGGTGAAGGAGATAGGGAGAGATGGAGGGAGTCAGACTCAGAGGGCAAGGAGAGGAAAGAGAGGGAAGACAGCAAAGATTCTCTCTTGGAAGTAATTATTGCTCTGTGTGTGGATGTTTGAAATGCAAACACACGGAAGAATCAGGGAAGAGAAGAGAATATGGCACACCTAAGGAAAAGAGACCGTCTCTTAGTACTCTCCATCAGACTGAGATGATCAGTACAATGTTCAGAATAACCCATTATTACTTCTCATGATGTCAGCCAGGTACTGCAAGCTGAAAGCTCTAACCCTCTGAGGATTTTACATCACACATCTTGTGGCCCAGAACAGCCACAACTCACATTTATGCCCTTTTCTCACTCCCAATCTGTGAAGTGAGCAATGCCCACATCATTCCCATTTCTCAGACAAGGAAGCTGAGAGCCCACATAAGGCATGGTGAGTGCTAAGGACTTGTTCATTCCCAGGGCTCGCTCTCTGACCACGAACCCCCAGCTACAGCTGAGCTATTCTCACACTTCTGAGATTCTGGAGCCCGTCTAAGGGCAGCGTGACAACTGAAGCCCCAATGTGGCCCCCAACACACCAGAGGACCACAGGACCCTTCGGGTGCCAAACCAGCCCGTACTCACTGGGTTTCATGGCATTTGGAGCACTGGAGGGGGCGCTTCCCCAGCCTGTAGAGGATGCTCCTGTCTCATCCATGTCACCCCACCCAGGGCTGGCTTCGTTTGGCTCACCCCAAGCTGATGTACCATTATCCGGAGCAGGTGGTGTGCTTTTGCTCCAGACTATAAAGAGAAAGAAAAGGTTTTTTTTAAATTAAACATCATTTACTAAGCAAAATCATTTCTTCCCATCTAACGAAGCACCCCCCCCTTCCCCCCAAAAAGTATGTCTTTGGGTTCTCATGCTCTCATAGAAAAACACTAGACAAACATGGACGCTACAATGTACTATCAGGAAAGGCCGACTCTGTCTTCAGCAAGCCTTTGGCATTTTATTACTAAATTTAAGAGCTGAGTTAATCTCCCCCATGGATTCTATGTGAACTCCTGCAAAAAGGAACACAAGCTGTGAACTCCAAAGTTGGCCCCGGGAACGACCAAGATTCAGTCTCCAAACAGAATGAGAGAAGTGGGAGATGGGGGTGGGGCCGGCTTACTGTCATCCCCATGACCTTGAATGGGCAGGAACCATTCTTCTGATGGCCCGCAAAGTTCCTGAGATGGGACGTTCCATTCGTCCAAACCAGTGCACCCAAAAGACAGGGAGGATGAGCGAGGCTGTGCTCCAGAAGCTCTTGCACACTTAAGATGCCTCCTCTCTCCTGAAGATTCTGACCCTGTTTCTTGTGAACTTTCCTGACACTGAAGGAGAACTGGAGGACGCCCCAGAGGTAAGCAAGCCCAGTGCCCTCACATTTTATAGACAAAGGAAACTGAGGCCCATAGAAGGCTCAATGACCTGCCAGCCAGTGGCAGGGCCATACATGGGCCCCAGATCTTCCTCCCTACCTGGGCTACCCAGTAATCTAAGTTGTGAGAAACAGTCTCAAACCACTGGACAAAGTAGGAGTCAGCAGAGATGGACCACATTTCTTCCTGGGGCTAAATATTTAGAAACACCCATATCAAGGTGGTGATCAAGTTCTCTTAAAAGAGATTTCAAACCATGGCAGCTGGGTCCCTAGGAGAAAGAAATTATGTAAAAAAACCAAAAACCAAAACCAAAACCATTTCAGGAGGGGAAACCTGAGGTGCTAACAATGTATGTAACTGGCTGTTGTTCAGACTCAGATACCGAGTCACAAAATGCAGTTTGAACTTGTGATTTCATTGGTAAAATTTCATTTGTCAAATCCCTACTTAGATACCTATGGTTTTTGTTCTTCAGACTTTTCACATCGACCCGAGTCACCATGAGGACTGAGGAAAATGGGCTCAGACTGACCTGATGATGTTTTGCTCGTCATCGGGGTGGGCAGGCTTTGTTCTCGTGGGGCCTGAGCCCCTTGAGAATTCTTATCCCACAGGTTCACATTCTTGTAGTTGTAACTACTTGGGTCTCCCCAGGCTGAAGTGCCATCATCAATGTCCATCTTCCTGCTAATGGACTGTGGGGAAGGCTCCTCCCAGCCACTGGGCTCCTCATCCTTCGGGGCTGATGGCTGTGGCCCGCTGTTCCAGCTAGGGTTGGGGGGCCGCCCGTTGCCTGGGGGTGGTGCTTGTGGTGGGGCTCCCCAAGAGCCAGAGGCCTCTTGCTGCGGCGGCGGCGGCGGCGGTGGCGGCTGCTGCTGCTGCTGCTGCTGCTGTTTATTCCAGGAGTTGGACTGCCGGGCTGTCTCGTTCGTCCAGGCTGGAGATCTTTTGCAATCGTCCCATCCACTCTTGGAAGCCAAGTTTGCATTTCCACCATTTCCCCAAGTCCCAATTTCATTTTGGCCTCCTTCACCCCAACCGGATGCTGGTTTACTTCCCGAGCCCTCCCAGTTACTGTTCTTTGTCTGATCGACTTCTTCTCCCCATCCGTTCTTCCCTGACGCCCATCCTTGGTTAGACTGGCGTCCTCCCCAGCCCTGATCCTTGCCGGAACTGTCGTTCCACGAGGAAGACGCCTTCTCCTCTGGTCTCGCTCCTCCCCAGCCGGAGGAGCTGTTGTTCTTGTAATCGTTCCAGCCGCCTGTGTTTTTGGGGTCCTTCCATTCTGTAGGGGTTGAGAGCTCACCCCATCCAGACTTTATTTGATTGCTTTGGCTGGGTCCGTCTCCCCAGCCCCCTGAGTTCTTTGTCTGGGTGGCAGAGCTCTCCCACCCCTCCGTCCCTTTATCCGACTTCCCCTCGGGCCTGGGCATCTCTTCGATATCCCAAATCGTATCCTGTTTAATTTGAGTTTGGCCCCAGCCGGTGTTGGACAGCACTCGGGGGTCCAGGTCAGTCCGGCTCAACAGAGTCTGCAGGACCGCCTGGCTGTCGGGATGGTTGGGCCTGTATGACCGGCGTCCAGAATTGTGACTGTCACTGCTTCCTGCTTTGTGGTTACTTCCAGTGCTCTGACCCCCAACCTCACTCCCCGTGGAGCTCGAAGATCTCCCCCAACAAGGAGCCTGGGGGATTGCCTTGGTTTTCAGGGAGGGGGTGGCCCTTCTGATTGTCCCATGCTCCAGTGCTAGAATTTGGTTGGTTTGGACCACTCCATTCTCCAATCTTCAGCTCGTCAGACCCAGTCGGCTGTTTCCATTCTCCCTGAGAGACCCCGGATGTCATTTTGTTCCCTTCACCCCATTTGTTTTCATTCGGGTCCGGCGGGCCAAACGTCCAGGACCCGCCGCCCGAAGACCTGCCGCTGTTGTCCCAAGAGTCGCTTTTTGACCCTGCAGATTTCTGGCCAGAGGTGCCCTTCCAGGCATCCTCTCTCTCCTTCCCATTGTTCCCATTGTTTCCAGAGTTGCTTAGTCCAGAGACGGTGTCAGTTCCAGAAGACCCCCTGCCTGTGCCCCGAGACCCAGCGCTCCCCGGCTGCCTGTCTCCAGTGCTCTGGGGCGGGGCGTCCGCACCCCTGGAGCAGCTCCCCAAGCCCCCCGCAAAGGGCGTCCCCTTGTTCTCGGTGGGGTTTGGCGAGCTTAAGTTCAAGGAGTTAGTGTTTCCGTTTTTTGGTCCATCAGTGTTATGACCTGGAGCCTGTTCTCGGCCAGAGACCACATAGGTTGCCCCTGCGCTGTTCTCCATCTTGGACGCCTGGCCGGACGTGCCCGCCTGCGCGCTGGGGCTGCTGCTCTCGGCCTCCGGGGCTCCCTTCCTACAGCTGTTCTCCTGCACCAGCGCGGGCCAGGCAGACGGGTTGCTATTTGGGTTGAAGTTGCTGAAGCCCGAAGCAGGACCGACCCTCTCCTGACCAGCCACGTTCCTCCAGTTCCCAAGTGCGCTGTTGCTCTCTGCAGCAGAGACGGAAGGTGGAACAGACTTAGCCTTGGGGTCAGACTTCCAGACCCCCAAGATTACATTCGTTCCCAGAACCCCCAGGGGGAGCCTGGCTTCCTTTTCCTTTGTGACTAGTGGTGCTTCCTGGCAGAGGGCTTTTCTCAGAGCCAGGGTTCGAGGCACTGGTGTTCTCGGTGGTGCTCTCGGAAGGAGCCTCAGTGTCTTTGCTGGCAATACAAGGCCACTCTTCCATGTCAGACCCGTCTACAATCACCTTGTCCCAGGTGGGAGTGGGGTTGGCAGCAGCGCCGTTGCTGGAGGAGGCTCCTGGGCCCCAAGTGGAATTTGCATAATTTGAAGCAGCAGCACCTCCAATGGATGAATCTGAAAAACAGATGAGATACTGTTATTCATCCAGTTATTTTCTGAATTTTAATTTATAACCAAGCAAACTAAATCTATTAAATGATGGGAATATCTTACAGACAAAGCCGTGGTCAGAAGAATGGGAGTCAAAGAACGCATAGCTTATGCGGGACTATGTCACTTCAAGAGAGAACTAACAGTGTATCTAGAACATGGTTCTTAGTTTGAACCCAATTTCTTTATTTCCAGAAACTCAGTCCATGACCACCCCCCACCTCCCCACAAGTTTTGCTAAGATCAACCTTTACATCTCTTAACATAAATAAAAATGCAATTATCTTTGTACAAGGTACTATAACAGGTATGGGGGAATGGAGTTTTTGGAATGCACTTAGTAAGTATTTGATAAATACTAGCTAAATCATTCAAACAGATGGATGAAATCTAAATAAAGGTTGTGAGTTTCATGGCTAAATACAATAAAGTCATTTGAAAATTTTTACCTGTTGCTTTATTTAACATTAATAAATTTGTCTCTTCAAGACTTAAGCAAAAAGCTTCATCTTCAGCTCCCTGGTATGATATTCTCTTTTTTTTAAAAAAAAACCCAACCATTATTTATTTTTAAACACTCTTTTCTTTTTAAATTCTGAGTTTCAAATTCTCTCCCTCACTCCTGTACCCTGTACCCTCTCCCAAGCACTAAGGTAAGCGATATAAGTTTTACATGTAAAATCATGAAAAACATCTCCACTTCACCCATATTTTTAAAAAAAGCTAGAAAAATAAAGTGAGAAAATTATACTTCCATTTGTGATCAGAGTTCATCAGTTCTCTCTCGGGAGTAGACAGCAATTTTTCTATCATGAGTCCTTTGGAACTGTCTTGGTTTGCTGTATTTATCTGAGTAGCCAAGACTTTTACAGTCATCATCATTACATCACTGCTGTTACTATGCACAGTGATCTCCCATGTCTTCTCACTTCACTTTACAGCTGGTGTGATATTCTCAAAGACCACTGAGTAACCTCCAAGCATGGAGATGATGGGTTATGCAAGACCACGGGCAGGGACAGATGAAAGCCACTGCCCAATTCTTACTGGCCCTTCCACCAGGTGGCCCATGAGGCTCTATGCCCAGGTCCGGCTGCTGCTACCACCTGAAACATGGGCAGCAGGCCTGGGCTGCTTATTATTCTTATTATTTGTCTGCAGGTGTGTGTCGGGGGCAGCGAGGTGGTGCAGTAGACAGAGCTCCAGCCTCGGAGTCAGGAGGACCCGAGTTTAAATCCGGCCTCAGACGCTTGAACACTTACTAGCTGTGTGACCCTGGGCAAGTCACCTAACCTCAACTGCCTCACCAAAAAGCACAAAACCTCCCCAAACAAACCATCGTGTAATCGTGCAATGTCCCCTGCACAGATACCAAGGGACTGGACCATCCCAGCACACGCTTCTGATTGATCCCCTAACCTGGTCTAACTGCTTACAGGGCGCCAAGGACTGGCTGGGGTGGGGAGAGAGAGAATACAGGAATTTGCATTTTATCATAAATTAAGTACCACACAGACACAAAGCACATTCAAGATCACGTGAAGGGGAGGAAGGGGAAGGAAAGACATGACTGGCAGCTGGGAGAGGGGATTCGAGCACTTGGTGGTTACTGTGGTTTGAGACTGAAAGCATCCCCCCGACACCGTTTCTTACAAAGGATAAGCCAATTCCAATCTGGCTTTTGGTGTGAGCCTAGCACACAAGCTTAAGCACCTCATGTCCAGCCTCTGCCCAGCTTCTTCCGGATCTGGAAGTGAGAGGGCAGTGAGAATTGTGGGAAGGGTAGCTTTGATTCTGAGACGGGCAAAATAAAGTTGAAAACACAATAAAAATCGGTGCTGATAGGATCACGTGTAAAGGCCTCTGAACCCAACCCAGGGGTTGGGGGAAGGGGGCATCTGGCATGGGCTCTTTTCATCTCAGAGCAGCCTGCCTCTTCTCCTTGCTGTTTCTGGTTTATAAACATCAAACTGCAGATTTAAAAATAATAAGAACAACCTTTTACTGTGTTCCTTTTCCTGCTCCAAAAACATACACCATGACTCTGAAGAGCCACGGACAAAGAAAAGTGACGAGAAGGAGAAGAAAAGTCTGGGAAGGAGAGAAAAGTCCGAGACTGACAACAACTCATGACTCTCTCCTCGGCTTCCCGGCCCCTTCAGAGACATGTCTTAGAGAGCTGACACACGGCATGCTGGGGACAAATCTCTGCCTTACGGACAGCAGAGATGATGCAGGGCAGCCACATCTCGTTTTGTTTGATGGCTTGATGCTGGCACTCTACAATAGGAGCCATGTGCTTACACCGCTCATCTCCAGACAGCTAACCTACCCTTTGGGGCGGTGCCCTGTGACCCCGGTGGCCCTGCCCTGCCGAGTATCCCCCCACTGCGGCTGCCTGGTCCTTACCTGATGCAGGCCCGCTCTCGCTTTGCAGCAGGGATCCCGTCACTTGTGCGTTGTTGGGGTTTGTTCCAGGTGTGGTGGAGGGAGGAGGCCCGGCCCCACCCCCAAGGAGCATACAGGAGGGTGGAGGGGGCTGCCCGCGTTTTAGTAACACTTTGTGGTCCTGCTGGCAACGGAATCGCGGCGGCACCTCCCGAGGCATGTAGCGGGCGGCGCTTGGCGGTTGTCCGTTCGGCACTGCCACCCTTTTGGCATTGTTGCCACCATTGACTGGTGGCGATGGAGAGCTGCCAATTGGGCTGGCGGCCGTTGGTTGGCTTAAACTTGGTTTCGTCACTTCGGGCACTGAAAGTAGTAGGAAAATAATGCCATTAAATTAAATACATTTTTCTACAGGTACACACAAATTCACTGTAAAATCAGTACTGATAGGTCCTTTTCCTTTCAGAATATTCTCAAAGGATTCTACGCTTTTGTTTCCTATGGCATCGTCAGTACTCTAGAGTTTTTCCCAAGAAATAAATGATGATAACGTTGCACTGTAGCAGTATGCATCGATTTACTCTACCAGGCCTGTACCTTCATCATAGAATTCAATGTCCTTCAACTCCAACAGGATTGTGCTCAGCGCTGGGGATATGCAGATGACAAAACACAAAATAACTGTCCATGTCTTCATGGAGCTCACAGTCTAACGGGAGAACGAGGCACAGCCACAGAGCTACAGCAGTGAACATGGGGTCAGAACAGGAGGAGAGGATCATAACTGTGGGGGTGGGGAACAGAAAGGAAAAAGGATGATGGATCAAGGCCATAGAGTGAAAGCGTTCTAAGGCAGCTTGCCCTGCAAGGGAAAGCCCTGGTACTCTACTCTAGAAGGCAGATGGAACAGAATCTCAGAGTCCCACACGAGAACTTAAATGGAAAATGTGCACCAATTCTCTACGGTGACTCTTTTCCCCCAGAGGCCTTAGAGGTCCTGAGAGGTGAGCAGAGATACTCTGCTCAGAGCCCCAGAGAAACAAAGATCAGCATTACAATCTCTGTGAACACCTCGCTAAGAATGAGGTGAGATGAAAGGGACGGTTTTGCTTGACCATGCACATTTGTTATGAGGGTTTTCTTATTCAACTAGGGAGGGAGAGTAGGAAAAAGAAAATAAACGCTTGTTAATTAAAAAAATGTTACTAAAGAAACAAGAAATGCACAACTTTGAAACAAGCTGAAGCATATGATAAATTCTAAGAACAATAATGTGGATTTTTGAGCCATGCTGGAGCTAAGTGATAATGGTAACAGATGATGGGGAGATGGGAGAACAACTCAATCCTTCTTTTACTTGTTTTCTCTGCCAAGAAGAAAGAGATTTAGATTGGGAAAGACAGAACCAAAATAGATGACAGAAAACTCAAACTCCCAAATAAATGAGGCGACAAGAAGAGCGACTAGTTGTTTTCGATACGTTCCAAGTCATCAGACTCAGAAGAACTATATAATACTTTAGGGTTCACTAAAAGAAATCACTGCTGTGCTGCTACCTGTGAAAGACCATGCTGAATAGAAGAGATGCCCCTGGACTGGAAATGAGCAAATGTCTTTATTTCTCAGCAAAAGGTAGGGGGAGAGAAAGTTAATTCTTCATACTATCAATCTGTTAAGGTAGACACTGGAAGCTTGACAAATTCTAAGAATACTATATTAAAAGGATGATTAGTTAGTGAGTATTAAGGGGGAAGTGGTGATCAAATCGAGCCAGGATTGGTTCAACAAGAACAACTCTTACAGACTGAAATGACATTAATTTAAGAGGGTTATCAGACAGGTAGGTAAACAGGTGAATGCTATAGATCTGATATCCCAGAACTTCAGTGAGACACTTAAAGTCTCTCCTAACACTCTTGTAGGTACAACAGAAAGCTATAGGCTGGACTCAGAAACTGCTTTAAGATTTAAACCTGAAGAGCAGTGATAGAATCCAGTGAGGTACCTCGGGAGGGGTTTAGAGCTGACAATGGCCTTAGAGATCTTCCAAATCTCAGCCTCTCATTTTACAGGCAAGTTAAATGGAGACCCACAGATGTTAAGTGATTTTTGCCTGAGGCCACAGGTGATAAACACAACTTAGAGGCCACTGGTGTTATTATTATAGCAAGCTCTTCTTTCCTATGTCATAAACCACTACTATCTGTGTTAATCTTAGTAAATATGGGGGTGTGAACACATTTCTTCCCCCCTCCCATCTTCTCTAGTTCCAATTTAAATTAGATCTGGGGAAGTGAGGGTGTGCGGCATGGGATTCTTCTTCCTAGCTCTCCTCAAAGAGATTCCAGTTGTGGCTGAGAACTTCTCATTTGTTCACCTTGCTGCCCGGCCTTTGATCACAAGTCAGACCCTGAGGGTTTCCACTGCTTGTCCAGAAGGTCTCAGTCAGTAGGTTCCTTCCTCCACAAGAATCACAAGAAATGATTCTTGGTCACCAGACGGGTCACTTTTCAGGAGGCTTCTCAGCAAAGACAGCTTGCCTCTCCACTGTTCCCATCAGATTAAGCTTATCAACCATGGCTCCTCTTGTCCTACCCCCTAAACTAGTATCAGATGTTCTCCCTGCTGGTGAAACACTGGAAACTTTCCTTTCCAGAATCACAAAACTCAGCTGGCAAGAATGTTGCCATGGGCCTATTCCCATCTGAGGGAAAAATGCCACCTACAGCATCCTGTCTGGGTGGTCATTCAGCCTCCTCCCCAAGGCATTCCTCTGGCCTGGCGGGCAGCTCTCACCACGAGAACAAGACTCAACTGACCTCGGAGCAACTTCTCCCCACTGCTCTCCATGCTCCCTCCGGGGCCAACACAACACGATGAGTCCTTCTTCTAGGAGACATGTTCTCCAAGCCTTGCAGGCAAGATGGTCTCTCAGAGGCTCCAGCTCCACATCTGAAGGCATAAGAGTCTCAAGACCAAGGCCCAGCCAGGCCAGTCTTCCAGCTCCCCCTTGATCTCTCTGGCTCCCTCCTGAGCTGACGAGAAGCAAACCTTCCCTTAAGTCTCTGCAGCTCTTTCTCTAGCAGGAGGATAAGCTCCTCCTTTTCTGTACCCATGCAACTGTCACTGGGCATGGCCATAAGAGACACCACTAAGACACAACAATATCTGCGCATCGCAACATCCCTTTCCTTCTCCGTACTTGCTGCCTCTTGGGAATAGGAAGAGAAAGAGAGGACGGAAGAGATTTTGTTGCTAGAAATTCCTGAGTAAGTTCTTTGTCCGTCATTATCTGAATTCTTCAAATATTGGAGTGGGTAAGCCAGACTAGCTGAAGCAGCAAGGTATCCTGGAGGGACGGACTGAAAGCAGCATGTGCCAAGCAAATCAAACCATCACCACCACCACCCTCTCTGCACAGATCCTGATGGACCCAGGAGCCTGGCCAAGAGCTTGGGAACAGTCATGCTACCGTCATTCTGGGGAGCAGCCAGCTGACAGGCAGCCTGGGGATGGCCCCTCCCTGCAGGGACTGTAGCCGAAGACCCAGAAAGGACCAACGGTCCAACATCAGAAAATGATACTATTTCATCATTGGAAATGACATGAGAGGCCTCACCGTCTGCTTTACGCCTGTACCCTAAGGACCATAAGACCTTTCCACCTGACAGGCAGCTGAAACCTTCTTTGCATGTTCCTTCCCATTAGAAGGTGAGCTCCTTGAGGGCAGGGGCTGTTACTGTTCTACATAGTTGTATTCTTAGTGCTTTGCGCATAACAAGTGCTTAGCAGATCCTTTCCAACAGCCAAAGGCAGTAATGACTTCCTCTAGCTGTTATCTGAAGATCTTCTCTTCTCAACAATGATCAAACATTAGCCATTTTGTGCTTGTATGACTGTCTCTTTCCATCTTCTGTTCCAATTATTGTTGACTCCCCCCACTCCCCGCCCCGGACTTCCTGCATCCAACCTGATACCAAGTCCTATCATTTCTTCGTTTCAGATGCATCAGGGATTCACCAATTCCTCTTTACTCCGATTATCCCAAATCCAGGCCATCACTACCTCAAGCCAAGATGACTGCCAAGTCTCCTGTCTATCCTCCTTATTGCCAGGCCATCTTCCATACAAACTACCAACTTAGTTTACTTAAAATACTCTTCCAGGGGCAGCTAGGTGGCACAGTGGATAGAGCACTGACCCTGAAGTCAGGAGGACCTGAGTTCAAATCTGGCCTTAGACACATAATACTTCCTAGCTGTGTGACTCTGGGCAAGTCACTTAACCCCAGTTGCCTCACTAAAAAAAAAAATACTCTTCCACTTAAAAACATACTAGCAGTACTCTTGACTCTTTCATGGCCCAATTCCATATGACCTCAACTTAGAATTCTCTAATCCAGTCATGTCAGTCTCTTTACTGCCCCCATTGGGTCACACTCACTCCTAGCTCTATTCCTTATGCCTTACGGTGCCCTCCCTCTCTCTGCCCGAAGAACTCCCACCATCTGCCAAAGGTCACTTGCTACCCAGACAACCTTTCTGATCACCAAAGAGACGAGAGGTCACCTTATTCTTCCCTATCAGCTGTACTCATTTCCCATCATACTGCACTGGATCACAGATGTCATCTTTGGCCCTCTGCACAATGTCTCTAGGGCCTTAATGTTACCTTTCCAACCACAGTATGGTCTTCCTGAAGACAAGGGCCTATGTTTTTTATTCCTCTTATATACCCTTCTACTCTAGCATAAAAGGTGCTCCCATTATACTTGCTGGTACCATCCCTCTATGGCCCAAGAAAAAAGCATTAAAGCACAGAGAAATATCAACAAGTGAGTCTGAAAGCATGTATGCAGTACATCCATAGGTTTCCTGGGCTCAGAGCTGGATGGGAACATTAGAGATGACCCAATGAGATGTGAGACCTTATGCTCAAGGTCTCACAGATTAGGGCAGCGCCAGGACTAGAATGCACAGCCTCGACCTCCACGTGTAAAATGCTTCTTTTATCCTATTCTACTGCCTCCAGATCAGGCGTTCTTCTTGGTGAAATATGATATGTTTAGATCTAAGCAGAAAAAGAATAACATTCAAGTTGAGGACAGAATGAACATTTTTAGGACTGAACAGACAGAAAAAAAGCTAGTAGTAGGCAAAAGATGGGGAGGGAAGAAGAGAAGGAGATGGGGGAGCAGAGAGGCAGAGACAGAGGGCAATACAGAGTGAGGCAGAATGACCTGCTGATGGAGCAAACAAGACTTGAGAGGAAGCAGGAAGAGATGAGTGCTAGAGCACAGGGAAAAGGAAGGAGGAAAAACTGGGTGCTAACTTATTAATGATGGGAAAATGAAGTTGAAGGTGCTCGCAGCCAATCTTCTTCTTAGTGAAAAGACACTGAAGAGGCTGTTTCACCTCAGGCAGTTTATTTCACTTCTCTAGGCCTCAGTATCCCCATCTGTAAAATCACGAGTTGAGAAGATAGTGCCCAAGGTTCCTTCTAGCTGCAGAATCCTAGGACCCAATGAAAAGCTAGAATGTGGTCTCAATTCTCACCCCAAATCAAAGCCCCTGGCTACTTACGGCCTGCCCAGGCTGACTTAGAAGAGCCAGTAAAATTGTCTTCTGGAGGCAGCTGACCCCAGTTTGGGTGAAGAGGAGCTAGGGCAACCAAACAGCAGGGGGCCGAAGGAAGAGAGACCAAGCGTGTGCGAGCCAGGCAGCAGGAGGCAGGACATACTGAGACGTGGAGCTAGTGAGGCTGGCAGGAACCAACAGGAGTCACCCACCTTTGTCTTAACTGGTGACTACGGAAGCAAGCAAGGGAAATCCTCGGACATTTATGGATTCTGCACACCTAATATACCTCACACAAATAAAGAGAGAGAAGACTGTCACTGTCAGGGAGATTTCTGCGACTGTCTTGGGTTAGTTTCCTCTCCTTTTCACGCAGGAATTGAACACACGCTTACCGAGCATCTCTCATGTGCAAGGCAGTATGCCAGGGGCTGAGAATACAAGCTGGAAAGGACACCAAGCCCTGCCTTCTAAGAGCTACACACACAAACAAGTGGGATAAGGTGAGTGTGATGCAATAAGGTCAAAGGAGAGAGGCAAAATCCTCAGAGAAAATTGAATGAGGGAAAAACATCAATCCATGACATTCTTTGAAATGAATTACTTGAGTTTTTAATCCTTAAAAAAAAAAACTGATGGGGAGACCTTTATGATTAAATTCCGTGGCCACAGGGACGTGTATTGTTTCTGCTTCAGACCCCGCCGCTGCTCTCTCTGCCCTGTTGCCTCCCCTTCCCCACTCCCAACCTATCTGTTCCCCAATGAAAGTCTGAAATTTGGCCTGGCTAAAAACTCCTGTGGCCATGCCACCCCTAGCCCCCCCCCCTTCCCCCCAGTCTCACTGGCAGCTTCAGCAGCATCCTCAGCCTCTATCCCATCTAGTCCCAGAAGAAAGACTTTCTTTTCAAAAAAAAAAAGGAGAGAGACACAAGAGTCTGAGTTTCCTTTTGAAATGTGGGTGAATCTTAACTTTCTTCCTCATAAAATTCAACGTCCTGTCCCATCACCACACATGTGGCTTTTGTCCTTCCTCACGGGTTGGGGGTGGTGGTGGTGGTAGTGGTGGTGGGGTGTGTGTGTGTGTGTGTGTGTGTGTGTGTGTGTGTGTGTGTGTGTGTGTGTGTGTGTGTGTGTGTGTGTGTAAGAAAAGGAAGGGGCCCAAGGTTAGGGCCTAACTCCTCGTACAGCCTGATGAAAACCATGGATAATATTCATCTGAGACTTCTAAAAACTTTAGAAGTTTGTAATTCTAAAAACTGTTTCTTTTCTCATGTTTTCTCCCACTTGTTCCTAGGTCCTAAAAATCCTTAGGATAGATGTACATATTTGTATTAAGGATGGTAGGAGAATAGAGGAGAAACAGACCACCTTCTGTTCCACGGTGGGTAAACCAACCCCTAGAGGCCCCAGGAGAAAAGACTGATGCGGGCAAAGAAGCATCTCTATCGGGGGCTGACCACAGGCAAGAAGCCTCCTCTCCCTAGAGCTGGTACAGTGTGGGAGCCCCACGTGTATCATAGCTGTGACAACTCCCATTTCCGGCTCTTGTGAAAAATAGACTTCGGATGGACAGGAAGAAAAAGCTAAGCAGAGCTGACAGAATTACTCTCCCCTATTTATCTTCACTGATCTTTCCTGCAAAGGGGAGTCAAATATCAACAAGTTTTAGATGCCCTAAAGGGTCCTTAATTTGGTTGAATTCCAGGATTCAATCTATTACTTCAGGAAACGGATGTACACATGACTCTTCCAATAGAATCCTACTTTCCCCGTCGAATTAAAACCTGCTGCTTTTCTTTAAAAAGATGTATGACTAAAAAATAACACAGATGAAAGCATTTAACTCCCTGAGCTCTTCCTTCCAAAAAAGAGGCACTAAGAGTTATAGGAAAAAGCTTTTTGAGACCCTGAGCTCAAAGGCACAACCCAATCACCTGTAATAAAATGGATTTATTTTTTTCCTCCAGAAAACACCCCTCTTCTTGAAAACTGCCTAACAGCCGTCCAATCCCTCTGCTGCCCAATGCCAGGCTTGATTCCACCAATTCAGCATAAACTTAATTACTGTGCACAGAGTTCGCCTTCCTTTTTCAAGAAAACTGGCAACTGACCCGGGAACATGGATTAGGTGAAGTAAACACTTTAAATGGTTCTTCTGAATCAAACAAGTAAAAATAATCTTACCTTTGGTTTTTTGTTCCGTGACCTGCAAAGTAAACAGAAGTAAATAAGAGTATTAAAATGCTCCCAATTCTCTCCTAATATATAAAAATTCAGGATTTTTACAAATAGATCTTTGTTATTGACAAGTCACAGTTAGTCCAAGGGAGAACAGAAACTGCTTCTGGAATCCTCTGCACTATGATTCAGTTCCACACAGGTAAATCCCAGAGCACCATTCTGGCCAAGAGTAGGCCATGAGGCCTTAGGATAACCATTAGCAGACTAAGGGTTCTACTATCAGGGACACAAGGAGGAAAGAATCTAAACTGTGCAAGACAACACTGAAGTGCCTACACTATGTGCAAGGCTCTGGTCTAGACCCTGGATGCTCATTTATTCATCAGAACTGAGGGGTCATTCCCCAGAGACAATGGCCAGCCTAATGGTCTGCAACTGAGGTCAAACAAAATAATTCACCTTTATAAAATCAGTGTCTGAACTTGGCAAATAGGCAAAATTTTGGTCACCACACCTCCCCAAAATACCATTAAGATGCATAAAGTTGAAAGGTTTAAAATTAGCCACAGGGACTAAGGAATTTCTTTATAAATAAGGATGATAAAGCAAAAATTTAAAATTACAAATCTTTGGTTTGGAAACATGAAGGTTAACAGTCAGTATCATAATATAATAACATATTACAAACATCATGGAAGTTATGAACAAAAACAAACAGATATGGTCAACCAAGTCTTGGAATCACTAAAGTTAGGGGATAACTTCTGAAGCTTGAAGAGGGCAAATGAAATAAAAATAATATAGGAAGGAAGTAAATATGGAGGTCATCAACCTTAAAAGGTTACACAGGCTGAAAATAAATTGGTTTAAAGGATCTGGATAAAATTCCTAGCTGGCAGTCCCCTGATGAGTTATTAAGGGATGCTAGAGAAGTTTGTGGTCAACACAAAGAAATAAAGATTTGAGTCCGCCATTGGCTGGAGTTACTATGTATTTCTCATGTTCTCACCATCAGGGGAAAGTTCATTCAATTAAGAAAATTTTATAGCAAATTCCTATGTATCATGAATGGTGCTTCCCAGTATTAAGTGCTACAGAGAGAATGTCTACTGAAGATAGAAATATGCAGGTTCCTTGTAACCTATTTATTTAAAATAAGAGTTAAATCTTTATCAAAACAGTTCCGTAAAATGTTCAATGCATTTCCCCCTACATTTTAAATATCCTGAAATCACCTCAGACTCAATCTAATTCATTAAAGATCAATAACAGAAGAAGCCAGTGTTTCATCATAAATCTGCCCAGGGCTATAAATGCCGTGTACCGTAGGTTCTGTTGAAGCAACAGGCCACAGAACATGGTCTGCCAATGCTAAGCAGCGGTCCTATGGAAAGCTTCAGCCCAATGGGTATACACGGCCTCATCAGGAAAAACCTAGAAAGTCTGCTGCCTTCGCTTAGCGATGTCTCTAGAAAAAAGACACTAACTCAAATCTTTTGATGTGCAAAGTCTGGTTTTAAAAGAAGATGATTTCTGTCCTGTCCGTTCCCAGTCACAATATGGAATCCCAACGAATTCCAGCACTTGTTTTTGGACCTGCTGTTGGGAACATCTCTGTACAGTAAGACTGCACTGACTCCAGATCACTTGTTCAGGGCTCTGTACTGGATTCCAGCTCCTTCCGTCCCCCGATTCTCTCCCCTCCCTGACTCTCCCTGGTCGACGGTGAGGACCTGCTCTCTCTACACCGCCCTCACCAAGTGATCTTTCCTTGAGCTTCGTGTTAGCCAAGTTTGTCATCCAATCCAGATCCTGCTATTACCTCTCTCCCAGGACAGTCCCCTCCTCTCCCTCCACAAGGACAGTGTCTGGTTCAGTCTTTCCCCTCCATCTCAGCCACAAAAAGGCGGTCACGCCCTTGATCTCACCATTACACAAATGTCACGCTTCCGTGCTCATGAACTCCCAGATTCCTTCATCTGACCATAATCTTGTATCATTCCACCTTTCCCAATGCCTCAGGTCTTCTGACCCTCCACTTCTCCCTTTTCACTGTGACCTCCAGTTCCTTCACCCCTCTGTTCTTTCGAAGGCCACCAGCCACCCCCTGTACTGCCTACATTCTCCTTTCCCTAAACTACAGCCCTTGGTGACTTAACTTACCTCTATGCTACCCTCTAAAACGCGAATCCCCCTTCCTCCCTTGTCCTATCCCTGTTCTCTGGAGGCTCTGCCAAACCCCAACACTGGATCACTCCCACCCTCTGCCTTCTTCACTCCTAGTCATGAGATGCTAAACAGAATTGAAAGAAACTGAGAAAACATGGTAACTGGGTCCACTACAAATGTATACAAATAAAGTAATCTCAAATGGGCCCTCACTACAGCAAAGCAAACATTCTGTTTCTCTAGCTGATTCAGTATCCCACTTTCTATAACACTTGTTTTAAACTTTCTGTTGTGTCCTCAAGCCTTCTCTAGCACCCTCTGCCCCTAAACAAACAAATAAATAAATAACGACCATCTGCCACGAGCTCCTCCTTCTTCCCCGCTCCTCATCTCACATCACTCATTCATCTTCCCCTATCTCCTTCCTTCACTTTGGTCCCACATGGAGAGGTATCCTTTCTCCTTACCAAGACAAGCCCTTCTATGTACACCTTTTGTCGCATCCTCTCTTGTCTTCTCCAGCCAAGTGCCCCCATTAACACTTTAACTTCCACTTCTTCTCCTCTCACTTGAGACCCTTTGCTGTTTGACTTCCAACATCGCCACTGTGCAGAAAAACTCCAAAGTTATCAACTGCCAAACTGAACTGCCTTTTCTCAGTCCCGATCTTCCCTGACCTCTCTCTCTGCAGTCACTCACGTGCTGGTCACTTTCTCCTTACTAGACACGTCTCCTCTCTCGGTTCTCTCACGCCCCTGCTCACTGCTCGTCCTCTCTGGGTTGGCTCTCTGGCCACGTCCCACGTCCTCTTCTTTTTTCACTCTGCTATCTCATGTGGTGGCCTCCTCAACTCCCAGGGCTTCAGTGATCTCTCTGCAGCCTTGAGTCTCTCACCTGAGCTCCAGTCACATCACCAAATGCCTTTTGGACGTTTTGACCTGCATATCCCATAAGCATCGCGATTCAACATATCCCAAAGAAAACTCGCTTTCTTTTCCCCTTGAACTCTTCCCAACTTCCTTTAGGGCACCACCATCCTTTCAGGCCTGCAGGTTTTCCGCCTTGTTGTCACTGCTGACTTCTCTCTCTCATGCCACAAGGCTGAGCTGATGACAAATACTGTCATTCTGACCGTTCCAAGTCCTCTCACATACCATCCCTCCCCACTCACAGAGCTGTTGCCCTCATTCAGGCCTGTACCGCTACTCACCAGGACAGCTGCAATGGCCTTCTCTTCAGCATCACGACCTCGAGTCTCTCTGCCCTCTGCTCCATCCTCCACTCATCTGACAAGGGGACTATTCCAGTACGTTTGACCGTGTTGCCCCCTACTCAATGGGCTCCAGGGGAAAGAGGTCCCTTCCGGAGGACCTTTCCAGGCTCTTTACACTTCTCTTCCCTTCCACACATCCCTTCCAGGATCCAGCTGCACCGGCCTCCTGAGTGTTCCACAAACATGACACTCGCCTCCACCTCCTATCTCTGTGCCTTGCCCGTAACTCTCCCTCACACCTGGAAGGCCCGGCAGGCCCAGCCTTACCTGGGCTTCCTTCCCACACTCAGGCACTGCTTTCTGCAGGAGGCCTTTGCTGCCGACTTCTTCCCTGCACCCCTCCCCCCTGATGGTACTTTCTTTTCTTACATTGTTTCCCATCTACTCTCTCCAATTTATATGACTCCACTCACTCTTGACAGCTATTAAACTATAAGCTCCCTGAGGGGAAGACTGTTCTTGACTTTCTGTGTATCCTCAGTGCTTAGCACAGCTTCTTGCACAAGGCAAGCATTTAATCAATGTTTACTGACTGACTATCTGAACCTAATTCTGATATTAAGATGACAGCTTGATATAACAAAAGATGAGCCAACTAATCAATCACCCCTGACTAGGTACCAGGCAGCAGTCCTGGGGATGAGGAGGCAGAATCCATTCCTACCCTCAAGGAGCTCACATTCTAGGGGGAATGATAACAAGTAAATAACCAGGTTATCTTCAAAACACTGAGGGGCTGACGGGCCTTTCTCCTGGGTGCTCGCAGAGTCTCCCAGTTGGGCACAGACATGTGCTGGAGCACCCCAGCAGCAGGAATCTCAAACTCTCCACATCTAGACAGAGCTCGTCATCTTACACTCCAAACCCAAACTCTTCCAAAGTCCAATTTCTATCAAGGGCGCAATTATTCTTCCAGTCACCTGGATCTGCAACCTATGCCATCTTCAACTCCTTGTTCCCCCACATCCTATGTACTCAATCACTGCCAGATCTCATCCATTCTACTCCAAACACTTCTCATCTCCGGCCCCTTCTCTCCAGGTTCTCCTCATCTCTCACCCATATTGCTGCAATGGCTTCCAGTCTTCAAGCCTCAAGCCTCTCTGATCTTCCACACTGCAGCCGAATGGACAATTCTGACCAGGTCACTGCTCAGCTCAAGAAGCCCTGGTGATTTCCTGGTGCCTTTAGGACAGAATCAGACCCCTCTGCTTGGCATGGAGAGCCTTTCACAAGGTGACTGAAGCCCGAGGGCTGGTGTACATCTGCCACAGGGGCACATTGTTCTCTTTCACATGCTGTAGGCTCCCCATCGTTCTCCCTGCCATCCCCTCAACACACCAGCCCATACCTAGAACAACCTCTTGGAATCTCTTCCTTCCTTCAAAGTACAGGCCAAGGGCCTCCTCCTACACAAAGCCTACCATTTGTATGTCACTGTTTGTGAGTGTAGGTTGTTCGCCTCAATAGAAGGTAAGCTCTTTGAAAACAGCATGGTGCCACAGAGAGACTGCCAGCTCTGGAGAGGGGGTGGGGGGTTCCCACCTTCCATTTCACCTCTAAGGCTTACCACCTGTGTGCTT